GAGGCCGGAGATGAGCCAACCCGGAAATTGGGGGAGCGCAAACAAGAAAAAAAGGTAAACAAAAGCATATGAGAGACCTTGAAGTGAACGGAAACCGATAGCTGTCTACCATTTTTTTGTTGGAATTTAATCTCGACAAGGCAGAGGAAAGTGAAGCAAAAGTGAAGCAAAAAATGGGGCCATAGCAAAGCAATTCCGAGGAATAACAACAATTCTCTTCACGCCTCGATGCCTTATCCCCTTCACTGCGTCCTGCTTGTTATTACAGCGCTTGTAAACTACGTTCATGTGGCGCTAGCTTGACGATACGAGGACGAGAGCAAGCAAACATGTCACATAAGAGATGACTGCGCATGTTGGGTCTACGTCTTAAGTTGACGGCGACTGCGGCTGGGCCTCCTCCTCCCTGCATCCGGCACCTGCATGGTTGCGAATCAAACAAACAAGATGGTCCGGAGTCTTCTATCATATGCTTATGACTGTGTGCCCCTGACGTCGTGAATAGAAGCTTGCCGCGGAGTAGGATGTTCGCCGTACGCCAGATAGACAAATTGCAATATGGTGCCGCGTCTCCGTATCGCACCGTTGATTTACAGCCTTTACAGCATCCCAAGTGAATTCTTCTGAGGTGACATCCAGTAAGACGCAGGGCTCAGAGGCAACTTGAACTTCTGTGGCCACTGCCGGTTTGCAACTCCTACTTTCGCAGTGATGCGTTGAGTATGAGGTTTGCTACTGCTTCTGCCATTCCACTGCCACCTTCCTAATCCCCTCTTTTGTGCTTTATTTTTTTTCTTCTTACTTGCGGAAGACTGCACTCCCATGCAGCTGGAATAGATCGGATGCCTAGAGCTGGCGTTTACCCGAGCAACAGATGGCTCTGGTGATATGAATCTAAGAAATGTCATTATGTTACGTGTAGCTCATCAGCACAGACAGGATATGTGGCCATGTGCAAGCAAGGAATGAATGAACTTCCTTTCTTGCGATCCTTGACCGTTTGGAGTTGCCACATAAATGAAATTGCCCGTAGAAATTGAGGTCATCACGAGACCGACAAGAGCCAACAAAATCGACGCACTACACGCGCGGTAGACGAGGGAAATAAACAGGAAAATGCTCATCTTCAGACTCGCCATCACCAACAAGAGCTATCGTCAAGTCAAGCCAGAGGTTTACGTCTACATGGTTGCGAAGTGCTGGCCGTCACTGGCTATCCCAGGGCCCAACCTGGACGCGAATCACACTGGAAGCTGGGTGTCAGAATAGAATAATGAAGCAGACACCCGACAGACGAGCCCACATGTGGGACATTCCGTTTATTACGCGTGGAGAATGAAGAGGATGTTGTGGACAGAGCCAGAGCGGCTTGAGGCATGAGGCATACAGTTGGAGAATGAGAGGGTTATATCAGAAGTCTGATATAGGTCCATCTATAGGTTAAAAACCAGAGTGGGAACTGGGAACTCTTCTTTACCAGCTTCTGCAGAATTGGACGCCTTTCGGAGAACGAACTGTATTCGTACATGGATTGGGGGAGAGGGGGGGGCACACGGTACGATGCACGACGTATGGGCATGTTAATAGAGCGAGTGCCCGTCGAGTCCTTACTGTTGTACCTCATACTTGCTCTCTGCATCTGCACTGTGACTGAAGTCCTCTGGCCTGATCCCGCACCATCGCGATTATTGCAGAGGAAATAATCTTTTGCTCGTCTGGGCAACCAAGAATCCAGAGAGGAAAGAAACAGCCTCGGGACGATGCTCGGTTGCTTTGCATCCCTGTTCTTTCCACCACTCCCGCAATACGTTTTTGATTTGTTTGCTCGTGTCCATTTATATCGTAGCCATCACGGATTCCAGCCCGTTCACGGACCAAAGTAGTAATACCCCTGCCGTCCATCCGGCATTGCAATGGCGTTCGTCCTTCTCCCGGGCGCATCTGGGTTCACTCGGTTACTGGACCTTACTATTCATTGCCCCTCTGCCCCTTTCAGTCTTTGTTTGTCTCTTCTGTCGTTCCATGGGTCTCACATCGATCAAGCACGAGCTTCGATTGCCACGTAAGATTACTTACACCGTTTGTCCCGGCCATCTTTCGTACCAGCGTGACTACTTTCCTTGGAATAACTTGAAATTGCCTGCTTTCTGCACCACTTTGGTCATGCAATTATGCTTTTCTACGGCGCAGAGTCGCAATCTTCATCTGACTTGGCATACCCCCACTCGCCTTCTCTTTCAACCGTCCATCTTAACAACGTACACCAAAATTGCGTTCTGGCCAAAACAAGAACGAGTTTGCTACTTTCTCCGCAGCCAAGACGACGAGAAAAAGGCAAAAAGGGGGCAAGTGGAGAGAGACGAGTAAGAGCAGTGAAAAGAAGAGAGACACAAGGCGCGAACCGTGTGTATGATTGCAAACGATGTACATCTTAGTCGCTCAAAACGGACCCCTGAATTTCCTATTCCGGGACGATGCCACTTTTTCCTGCCGCGGCCTCTATTCAAGATGGTCGCCTCAGAATCGGCACAGAGCAGGGAGTTGAGATTTATGAAGGATAAGTGACATGGAAGACGTTCGAGGCTTGGTCTAACTCGACGGAGAACGAGAGAGTGTCGTTTAGAAATGGGGCTACATAGCATCAGAGAACGCTCTGAACTTTTTTTTTCAAGCGAAAAACAAAGAGTCCAGCACGGGCTCTGTATGCCGCAAAGGCTACGCGAGATGTCTTCTCAGGGGCTGCGCTTATGAATAATAGTATGATGTATGTCCTACAATGTACATACTCAGTACCGGTACAAAGGCAACAGGATGATTCTCGAGGGAATGGAAGGGCCTCCATATCTTTCGATTCTGTTGGGATATCTGCCCGGTTTTTCCTCCTCGACATGCCCACCCACGCCCCCTTCCCATGTTGCCACCGTTCTCTGTGTCCTTCTCTTTTTGGTTTTCCGTCTTCCTCTTTGTGATTACACTCCCCCCCAAATATTCCGAGATCAACTGCAACAACAGGGAGGTGTGTGACCCACGAAACGGGACCAGCTGGTAGGCACAAAATAAATATGAAAATAAAAATATTGTGCTCCACCCACAAGTCGTACACGTCACATTGAGACACAGTCACTTGCCCTCTGCTAGCTTGTATTGTGTGTTCATCGCTAGAAATGCACTGAATAAGGGAGATGTTGGCACCCAAAAAACTCTGGCCTGCCTTTCGCATGGCATGGAGATATCTAGCCGCCGTATCCTTTCTACGACTGCGACTTCTTCGCCTACTGTATTTTATTATCTAGGATTCCATCATCTGATAAATGGAAAATTGCTGCTTTAAAGCAACAAATAGGGGTAATAACGAGGTAAGAGATAAAAAGGAGACAACAAGGGTGCACTCGAAACCAGAAACAGAAACAGAAACAGAAACAGAAACAGAGGCCGTGTTTAGCCCTTTTTGGTATTGTAACGGTTCGGTACTAGCTATGATGAAAGAGTGACGTGAGAGTGTGAGTCGGGAAAAAAGAATAGAGAAGACAAAAAAGGAATATAGCTACGAAGTAACCATGAAAAGTGGGAAATGAACCATCCTTATGATGCTGGACTCCGGAAGGAAGCATTGCCAAAATCAGACTGAGGAAGCCATGACAGGAAAAGATTGACAAGTACGACATGGGGTATGTTTGAACGGAGGACAAAGTAAAAAAATCACCAGAAAATAGAAGGAAACGGGGTCCGGTAAGGGCTGCTATGGAGAGAATCAGTGGACAAAACTCTGATTCTCGTTTCTGTTTGATTGCAAAAAATAGACCACGCTGCATGGTTACTCCGCCTCAATCAGCTAAGCCAAGAATATGTAGAGTGGGAGAGGAAGGCAAACGAACACGCACCCGTCAGTGTTTCTAGTGGCACACCAAAGATGCAGTTTCGAGCAACATACTCTGAACGGTACTTGCAATGGCGTGCCATACACTGGAAAGGGGGTGTGCAGGTAGACAAATATGAGTGTATATGTAGATGTACAACTCTATCCACAAAGGATTCGGCGGGGAGAATAGAAGTAAAAGACGAGGAGAAACGGGAGGGAAAGGGTTGCACTGGGGGCATCCTCAAGAGCCGGCAACGACCAGTCGCAGTGGCCTAGTATTGCCCTCCAAACTGCCCTTACCTACTTCCTGGTTTCCGGGCTTCTCCGTATGGAGCAAAGATCTTTCTCTGCTTTCACTTTTTCACCTCCCATCTCGTTGTGTGTGCCTGCCCTTTGGTGGGTGGTCCACGTCCTCGTTCCCGGGGGGGGGGGGGGGGGGACACGGGCAAAATCCTCCTGTCCATTTCCGCCCTCTTGGCCTCCTCATCCCTTTCCATGTCCATGCCTGTCTATTTTGGCCTTGCTGCTATTCCTCCCCTCCCGCTCATTTTCCACCTGTTTGGTCTCCCTGACTACCCAGTCAGCAGTGAGTCTTTCCCAAAATACCAGCTGCCCAGCGCTTTGGTGGGCAACTATTCAATCGCGGCCAGCGTCCCCCTCCTTGTCGACTGCGTCACCATACTCTCCCGCACCTCTTTTCTGGATGTCCCTTGGTGGGGATGAACGGGAAGAATGCTCTTGCAGCAGTAGCAGCCGTGGGCGTAACCTCCTGATGCACCGCAACACGACGGAAATGTGGGAAACCAAGAAGGATTGGCGATACAGGGCGTGGTATGCGACTCAAAGAAAAGTGGCAAGCTTGCCCAACAAATATCAAAAGAACAAGAGAGAAACAGCAGCGAGAGGTATCTAAAGGTAAGATGGTATACACAATGCGTGTAAATTGTAGATTTTTAATTAAACCAATTGTTTTTCGTGCGCATTGATGCACCAACGCATTCTTTAAATGCCAGAAGTTTGAAAATGCCACCAAATGGCCCAGAAAAAAACCCAACATATGCTCTAAAGCCTGGAGTTTAGTCCTCGGCATCCTCGTTATCGACGAGAGCAAGCTCGACAAAGTTGCGAACCCAGGCCGCCATCACTGGGTCCAACTCGTTACCAGGATTTCGGTGTTCTCGGCCGCCAGCACCGGCCCCCCGTATTTGTCCCCGTCCCTGCCCGGCAGCTCCTCGACCTCGCCCTGCTCCTCGTCCTCGTATACGACCATCCTGCCCTCTTCCTCGAGCTGCCGCAAAGCCTCGTAGCCTTGGGGCTATACCGTTGTTGTTGTTGTTGTTGTTGTTGTTGTTGTTGATACCGTGGTGGTCGTCGTTATCGTGGTTACCCGGCGCAAGAGGTGCTGGACCCGGCGCTGGGTCCATGGCGATGCGAAGGACGAGAGGCCCTTCACGGGCAACATCAACATGATGGGGGGCCGCCGGGGTTGGAGCTCGTCGTGGGCCTTCCCTTCGTCGTCGTCCATTGTTCCTACCATCACGGCCACCCCGCTGCCTAGGACCGCCTCGGTCATGTACCCGGCCACCGCGTCCGCCCTGGTAGCCATCTGCAGCAGCGGCACCGTTGACGTTGGCATCACCTTGCACAACATCTTCATCCGAATCCCAGTCGGACAGATCATCGTCGGGCAAGTCCCGGTCCTCGTTATCTGATTCGTTCAAGTCGGCAACGCGAACAGCGGCGCGTCCATCGAATGCAATAACCTGGCCGTTACCACCGCCTTCGTCCCCATGCTCGAGCTCCCACAGTCGGTTGAAACATCCTGTTCGCCGGCCATCGGGAGCCTCGCCAAAGTGCCGGTAAGGATTGCTGGAGTCGAGCCACGCCGCGCACAAGTAGCAAAAGTGTGTGTTGCAGCGGAAGCAAATCATGTGGTTACATCCCATGGTCTTTTGGGCAGGCGCTGCGCATGTCGGGCACGGCGTCGTGTGATGTGCTAGGTATTCGAGCGATGCTTTATCCTCCTCAGCCAGCTCGCCGGTGTTTCGGGGCGGTGAGCAGTACACAAAGTCGCCGTGCCACGAAAGGAGACAACGGTTGCAAAATGCAAACGCGCAGTCTTCACAGATGCATAGGCGTTCTTCTGTCGCCGAGTACGCCTTTTTGCTCTTGCCGTTATCGCCTGCCGGCGCCTCTACTGCTGCTTCCGCTTCCGCCTCCTCCTCGTCTTCGCCGTCGCTCTCATGGAGCGACAGGCCGCGCGGTTTCTTGTGCTTTTTAGACCGTGCCGCACCGTTGCACCAAGCGCGCGGGCAGTAGACAGTATTCTTGTCCGACTGGAGTGCCGTCTTGTACTTGAGGTCAATGTAGCGCCGCACCAGGCTCTCGTCAAGGGGAATCTGCAGCAGCTCGCCGGGACTAACGGATACGAGCTTGGGTTTGCTGTTCTTCTTGCCCATCTGCTGGGCCGCAGCGACGCGCTCCTTGGAGCAATTCGGCTCGAGGCAACGAATAGATGCAAGGTCACCTTCTGTGATGGCGCTGCTGTAAAAGTCTTGCAAACATTGGCGGCAGAAGACATGACCACAGTCTTGCATACGGTGGCAGGCTGCGCCCTTCTTCGGATCTATAGATAGATGCTCGATTAGAAAACTGCAGAAGGTGCAACAAATTTAAGCATCTCGGGGGCATGAACTTGCCTAAGCAGATACCACAGCTAAACGTCTCTTTGGCAAAGGCGGCCTGCTTTGCTGCAACGTCGTAGTTGAGAATCGCCACTTTGTGTTCCGTGTCCACGGCGAGAAACCCGTTTTGGTTCACGAGCCCAAACACCTCGTCATCCGCCGCCTGCTGGATATGGTCGACGTAGCTGAACACAACCTGGTCGCGCCCCGTCTCCTCCCAGAGTCGTTCACAATCGCTCGCGAGGCGACCCAGCACGCTGCTCGGCAGCCATGGTGGAAACGCCGTGACGGCCACTGTGGGCGGCTCTTCTGCTGGGTACGCAGGTGGCAGCGTTACACAAAGATGCAGTGACGGCAAGTAGGCCAAGCTGTGCGTGTCGATGACCCGGTTCTCTGGGAGGAGATGTGCGTTGGCAGCACTGGCACTGGCGTCGGAAGCAGATGATGCCCCGGGAGCCACCTGCGTGTCAGTTGTTGCATTCTCGATGATGCCTGTGGCTGGAAATGCGACAGTGACGACCTTGGCCGGGTTCACAGGCACTTCGAGCGTAAAGGCATACTTGTTTTCGCTGTCAATAGCTAGTTCGGGGAAAATGGCCTTGAGCGAGTTGATCTCGACAGCGCGCAGGTCGTCATAGTCGATATCGTCTTCTACTTCGTAATCCATGGCGGAGAGTGAGGTCCGGCTCAACTGAGGCTGCGATTCCGAACGTGTCTCGTGCCCAGCTTGTTTCTCACACTTCTCTCACTTCTCTCACTTCTCTCTCGTCCTCTCGTCCTCCAATCCTATCTGCCCTGGATATTGTCCCAGGCCAATGTATATACCAAGTACGAGACACACATCGTTCATGCGATCTTCGCGACGAATATAAAATCAGGGCGGGGAGGCGACAAGCCGCGTAGTGAAAATTGATTCCGTTCAGTATTAGGAATGGAAGAAGTTGGTGTTGGAGTTGAAATGGCCTGAAGTCCACAACGCTTTTTGAGAATGACGTACGGAGCGTTATACCTGATTATGAATTATGATTCGGAGGGGCGTCCCGGGTGCGGTGCGCTACTTGGGAGGGGCAGGAGCGCTTTGCCGTCAGTCGTGACTCTTACGCCATCTTCGGCCGCGTGACAAAGGCCGGAAAGAGCCAGGTCAAGGGGTGGCCTGAGCTTCTGTAACAAAAGTGCCCTATTCATACCCTTTAGGCCCGCTGATTGGCTGCGGTATCTCGTCCCCTATGTCCAATTTAGCAGGACAGCTCTATCCCCACAGTGCACCACCAAGCAAAAGCAGAAGCAAATTGAGCAAGAGCCAGGGCGGGGGCGCTTGAAGTTTGCCCGCGTTATCCTAACGTGCCAACTAATCCAGCCCTCCTCCGAGAAGCAGTATAGGAGAGCTCTCACGATTCCCAATACACCAAAACGTCGCACATCTTCCGTTTGGTCTGGCGACTGGGTGACAAACCGACGGCTGCGCTAGGATTCCCCCCGTCGACGCCATCTGCAGAGTGCCGTCGCCGCAGGATGACAGCAGACACGCCCTCTGAGCGTTCTGCTTCTTTCAACCGCCATACGAAGGCTGTGACCAGCTGTGGCCCCGTCGTACTTCTTCCTCTGTCTCTGTCAATATGAGCGGCTCATCTGGTGAAAGGCAACCTCAAGCTGGCGACAAGGCTGTAGCTGAAGGTGCGCCACTGCTGGAAACGAGTCAACCCGGCACCAACAACCCAGCAGCCGAGCAAGCTGACCAGCCGCCGACGCAAGCCTCGACATCTGTCCCACCACCGCCAACTCAGTCCATCTCCAGCTCAAGCATGACCACAGGGGCCGCCGCCGATAGTGGTACTGGCGGCAGTAGCTCGGCACCTGTACCGTTGCCTCCCCAACAATCCCAGCAGCAACAGCATCAGCCCCTTGACTCGCTCTCCCTCTCCCAGCTGCGCCGACTTGCCTCGGAGCTGCCTCGTAACGAGCCCATCACCTACGACTTTACGTACGAGGACATGGGTGACTTTGATGATGAGATTGATGAGTGGTTCTCCTACCAGGTCTCCCAATGGGTGCGCCTCAATTACGCCCAGCAGCACTTCGAGAACCGCTGGGAGCGTATCATCACCCACAGCAAGCGAGACAACGAGCGGGCCAGCGATGATGATCAAGACGAACAAGACGACCGAAACAATGGATACGACGAGTACAACGAGTACAGCGACTACAACAGTGGTGGTGGGCGTGGTCAGGAAGCAGACAAAGGTGATAGCGACAACCGCTTGTGGGACACAGTTGGCGGCGAGACGCAGGAGTTGTTTGTTTCCGGCCTGCTCAGCTACCTCGAGTCTGGGAAACACCGCCAGCGTGCCGAAGTCGTTGGCTGTCTCGTCTACCTCGTGCTCGGTCGCTGGGGAACCACGGCCGGTGGGCCTCCGGACGGCAAGAGCTCATCGACAGCACGGACTGTTGCTCGGTCACGACAGATTTTGGCGATGAAGGCAGCAGCCGCCCTTATCGGCAAGCTCGGTGGCATTCCGATTTTATGGAAGGCTCTGCGCAAGGCATTTGAACCGTTTTGGTACGTTTAGGATTTTAGGATACCATTTATTGACGAAGGCCGAAAACTAACTTTAGCTAGGGGTCCTGGGGACGTACAACAGTTACCGACAGGTATTCTACAAGACGCTCAAGATGACCTGGCTAACCTCATGACCATCTTCTATGTCGTTATGCAGGCGGCCTTGAGTGAGCCGCTTGACATGGCTGCATGCTATGTCAAGTTAGGTATGTTTATTTGCTACCGCCTCTACCATGTTCTCTTTTGTTTTGGCTTTGCATTGTTAACTTGTTCGTAGTCTCCCTCAACCCACCCATTCCCAATTTTATGATGAATGTAGCATCGAAGCTGCGGTGGGAGGACAACCCGGTTATCCTCCAATGCCAGGTGTTCTTGCTTCTCTGGAAAGCAATCTTGCTCGTATTTGGTGGCACACGCGAATTGCTAGAGACGAAAAAAGCCACCGCTGAGTCGACTGCCGACGATGACAAAGAGAAGAACCTTATTATGGCGTCGCCCCTTGACTATCACGCTTTCCGCCAGGAAATCACCTCCAAGTACCCTGCATACATTCCTCCTCAGCCGTTGTTACCTCTCGAAGACGATAATACGACTCTCTTGCCTCCGCCGCCCAACCATCCGCCGCGGAATAACGGCGCAAATGGAATCCTCCCAGGACCACCCAATGCATATGGAGGTGCCTCTATCTTAGACCAGCCAGTCCATATTGCTACACCAGCACCATCTCCCCCTCCATCGCCCGCAGCAGGTGGGAAGGGTGGAAAGAAACAGAACTACCAAACAAACCAAAACTTCCCGTTCATGTATCCCCCGCTAGATACAACTAGTAATGGTGCAGGTGGCAAGGGCCTGGCAGCGCTACAAGACGCCCTTGTGGGGCGTAAATGGGAGGGCAGCGACGTGCCCTCGTCCATTCTGGAAGCTGGTGAGCTCTTCTCGAACCGTGTCCGTATGACGCGTGCAGCTCGGCAACTTTGGGAAGAGCGTGAGAAGTTTCTCAAGTTCGAACGTGGCTGGGACGCTGCAGACGACGAAACCACTGACCAGGACATCATCGACGATTTGGACCTGTCTTCGCTTACCCTGGAGGAAAGAGAGGATCTTGGCTTGGTGAAGCGGAGCGAGTCGAGCGGTAAAACCAAAAAGGGCGAGGCCGACGTGGACTATGGTTCAAGAGAAAGTGAACTCAATGAGCGCATCAAGCAGCGTCTTTATGCTTTGGAAAGGTTTTACGTGAGTGCAATCTGCGAAATCCCCACATATTTCCAATTATTGGGTGCTGACAGTGTTTTCAAACTTACAGCAAGAGGCCCTACCTCACTTGCAATCACTGGTTATCGTCCTTTTGAAAGCCATCTTGATGAACGTGGCCGTTCTCATGGCCCAGGCTCCGGCCGGTCAGCAACAACACCCCGCCGCCGGCGGTCCGAACAATAGAGGCAGCGGTTTTCAGAACCAACAGCCCGGTGGCAGCAATCCTGGCAACACGGAGCCGGTCGAGCTGACGCCCGAAGAGATTGACGCAGCTAGGACAAGAGAGATAAGTGCAAAGGCAGTGTCCGGCATCTTGTTGCTTCTGTTGAAGTGGCTGAAAGTATCTCGTACGTTGTATTGTTTCAGACGGTCTTGCCTATGCCTTTTTATCTGGCCGCTAACCGCATTGCAGATGTCCTCAAGTTCGAGTATTTGACACAGCTCTTGCTCGATTGCAACTACGTTCCACTGCTTTTAAAGCTCTGGGCGCACCAGGATGTCCAGCAGCTAGTCGACGCCAAAACTGATTGGGTGGAGTCTAGCTTTTTCTACTTCTGCAATTTCCGCGCAGGCGTTCCCGAGGGCGAGGAGCAGGTCAGCGGCGCTGCCGAGGATGAGGAACTTGAAAGCGAAGATGATGCTGCTCCTCCGGCGATTAAGCGACGCCGCTCGCCGCCCCAGGCTCCAGGGCCTGGAGGTGCGCCAGGCAAGCCCATCGCCACTCGTTCGACCGGTGCCCCCCAGGTAGATGAGCTTGGGTATCCGCTTGGCGATATGCCCATCGAACCGATCACTGACTTCAACCGGCGCAACTTCTTCTCCCTCATCAACCTCCTTCGGGTGATGCAGAAGATCTGCAAGAACAAGGCACACCGCAACTTGCTTCTCGTACACTATAAATCCTCCAACATCCTGCGCAAGATGCTAAAGGTACCTCAGCAAGAGCTTCGGCTGTACACGCTCAAGCTGTTCAAGAACCAGGTGCCCTACTGCGGACGCAAGTGGCGACAGAGCAACATGCGGGTGATCACGGCAGTGTATCTGCATTGTCGGCCGGAGCTACGCGACGAGTGGCTGGCAGGTAGCGACGTGGATGGCGAAGTGGAAAGCTCGCTCCCGTTAGAGCAAGCGCTGCGCAGCCTGACACACTGGTTTAATGTGCGGCGGTATCCGGACAAAATGGCGCCCGAGGTCAGCGTGGCGCTACGCGAGGAACACGATTTTTTCGTTCGCGAGCTGGACAAGCTAGACCTGAGCTGGGCGGATCTCAACGATGGCGAGAGCATGGTGAGCGATTGGGACACTTAGAAAGCGTCTATCGAGCCGGCCATGGCGGACACGGCGAATGCCACCACGGAGAGTGAACCAACGGAGTCAAAAGTTGCGATTGAACCGTTGGCAGCAGTAGCCGGTGGATCTGGCGGCTCATAAGCGTCCCATATGCCCGATGAAAGCGGGTTTCCCGAACCAACCTGGATGTCAAGGTCTTCTGGGTTGCCCCAACTGTCTGAAATGGCGCTATCAGTGGTGGAATTGGGATTCACAAAATACGGTGCCGCCTTGGAACGCTGAAGAGAGACAATGCCAAGGAACGAAGAGCATGCGCGTACTGTGAACAGAATGTCGCTATGCTCGTCAGTCCCGAAATGGGAATTGAATATATGTGTTATCAATTCAGTTAATTGTTTTACTGTGTGCAAAGTGCCTAGTCGCAGCTTCAAGTTCGGCCCGTACTCGTAATACCATAAACAACGCCACAACTCGAAACTCCTTTCCAGCTCATGTCTTGCCAAAGGTCTCGTCCATAACGGCACAGTTCCAACCGTTCTCTGTATTGCCCCAAATATATTAGGTCTCAATCTTATTCCCGCCGTGTCCAAGTAATGTTACCTCGGGTATCTCATCCTTTTTCGAGCTACAGGATTCGTTTTGGGAATGGGGAGGGGATTCTCCTTCGGTCTATTTTTATCACACCCTCGACTTTACCCCTCGAATCGCAACCCAATACAATGCCCTTTAAAATTGCGACAGGTTGCCATACTTGCGGGCAGCACCCACAACTTGGTCCTTCAGACCGCGCGCGCCCGTTTCGACGCTACCCCGGAGGCCGGCCGAGTTGCCCGTGGCTGGGTCAATGGCACCGCCCCATACGTTAGGGTCGACAGTAGTGCCGCGGACATTGGCGGCGTCACCAGTGCCGGTGCCACGAACGGTGGAGCTGGGGTCAGCAGCACCCGAGGTGGCAGCACCTGTAGAAGTGCCGGTTGCGGCGTTAGAGCCAACACCTGTTCCTCCCACGGAAGAGACTTCGGGAGTCTGGTCACGAGCGTTGGTGTAGTTATCGGTGCCGGTGTTACGAGTGTTGTAGTTATCAGTGCCAGTGCCACGAGCGTTGGTGTAGTTGTCGGTGCCGGTGCCATGAGTATTATAGTTGTCGGTGTCGGTGCCACGAGTATTATAGTTGTCGGTGCCGGTGCCACGAGTGTTATAGTTGTCAGTGCCGGTACCACGAGTGTTGTAGTTGTCGGTGCCAGTGCCACGAGTGTTATAATTGTCAGTGCCGGTACCACGAGTGTTGTAGTTGTCGGTGCCAGTGTTATAGACAGTAGAGCTAGGGTGAGCAGCACCCGACGTAGCAGCACCAGTGGCAGCACCAGTGGCAGCGCCAGTGGCAGCGCCTGTAGTAGCGCCAGTTACGGTATTAGAACCAATGCCCGCGCCTCCTGCAGAGGGAACGTAAGGAGCCTGGCCACGAGCGTCGGTATAGTTGTCTGTGCCGGTGCCACGAGTGTTGTAGTTATCGGTGCCGGCGTTACGAGCATTAGTATAGTTGTCGGTGCCGGTGCCGCGAGCGTTAGTATAGTTGTCGGTACCGGTGCCACGGGCGTTGGCGTAATTATCGGTGCCGGTACCACGAGTGTTAGTGTAATTATCGGTACCGGTGCCGGTACCACGAGTATTGTAGTTGTCGGTGCCGGTATTATGGACAGTAGAGCCAGGGTGAGCAGCGCGCGAAGTGACAGCGCCGGTGGCAGCGCCCGTAGCAGCGCCGGCTACGGCAGCAGAACCAACACCCGTGCCTCCCAGAGAGGAGACTTGGGGAGTTTGGCCACGGACGTTGGTATAGTTGTCGGCAGCATAGTCGCCGACTTGAGTACCACGGAGAGCCGAAGTACCGCCGGACGTGCCAGTGGTGCCAGTGGTACGGGCCGTGTTGTATGCCTTGTTCGTATGGTCAGCAGCGGTGGTGCGGATGTTGTCGTAGTTGTCAACACCGGTGCCACGGACGGAGGGGACCTCGTTCGCAGGTGCCTCGGCGATGCCGCCGCTGCCGTCGCGGAGGTAGCTAGGGTCCACGCTGCTCTGAAGGTTGGGGTCCACGCCCGAGCGGCCGGTAGCAACAGGGTCTACGTAGTTGTCGTTGCGGGCGGTAGGTTCAGCGTAGTTGGCACCACGGGACGCTGGCTCGGTGTTTTTGCCACTGCGCATGGTCCTGTTGGCGAGGCCTGAGCCGACGGCAGCGGCGCCACCCAACGCCGCGCCGGTTTCCAAGTCCTTCTTGCCGTAAGCACGGTTGGTGTTGTACTCCTGGGGCTTGTTAGGATCGATAACGCCGTTGTCGCCGTATCCGTGGTGGCCAACAGCTGTCGTCTCGGTAGCGTAGCTCTCGCGCATCTGGCCCGGCTCCGCGTGCGCAGGCAGCGCGTTGGGATCTTGGTAGCCGTCGCCCCGGCCGTTTTCGGTCTTGCGCTTCTTGCCAAAGAGACCCTTGCGGCGGCCACTACCCGAAGTGTAGTTGTTGTTCGGGCCAGGGCCAAACTTCTTTTCACGGCGGTGGCTGCGGAAGAGCAAGAAACCGCTAATCAAGGTGAAGAGCAAGAAAGCAATGGCGACGATGGACACCGCCAGACAGGCTTTCTCGAGGCGGCACGAGACACGGAAGGTAGGGATGTTGACGGAGACGCCATTTTGGTTGTTGATGCGGTTGACGTCGGCGTTTCCGTAGCCAAAAGGTGTGCGAATGTTTCTGCCATTGCAGCTGCCGGCGCCGCCGCGGTTGGCGACGGCAATGTAGACGAAGCTGGCGATGAAGCAAATGTCCAAGATAAGGGCCAGGGCAAAAGCCACCGGGTGGCCGCCGACGCACCACAGCAGTAGGAGGCAGATGAGAGAGTAAAGCGCTGCTGAGCCAGCCAGACCCGTGACGGCACGGGTCCAAGTCGGGACATAGAGGTTGGCGCTGCGCAGCTTGGCGAGGAAGTAGGCGAAGATGCCGAGGACGACAATGGAGCAGAGGAATATGACCAGGCGGTTGAAAAATTCGAGCGCCCGCAGGCCGATGCTGGAGCGCGCCATGGCTGCAGGTAGTGTAGGTGGAAGAGGCTGTCGGAGATGCAACGGTAACAGTCACGGTGCAAAGTGACTATGGCAATTGGGATGAGATTGACACCAATCTGACAATGTTGGAATGCGACAGCAGGAAATACATATACATTGGAAAATTCATCCAAGGAAATCGAAAGCCCCGAGAGGGGTGCTCGGCAGGCTTATATGGGTGACAACAGCGACGAACGGTCAATGGTCGCGAGTATGTGTAAGAGCTGTCGAGCTGTTGCGAGCTATGACGTAATGCAACTCAAAGACTGTACATTGGAAAGGAAACAAAGTTGAGATAGTCTGTTGTGAGGCCTCATGCTAATCGGAAACGAAAACAAAGAAATCGAAAGGACCTTGCCGTAAAACAATGGGGCCCAGATGTAGCTTTGAAGATGCAGGAGCCGCAAATAAAGAAATAAAGGGAAAGAGACGAGACGGGAAGGAGCCGTCACCCTGGTTGCTGACGCTGTCTTGGCTGGGAACGGGGACTCACCTCTAACAACTTCCCAGATTCGGCCGTCTGCTTTCTGTAGCTTCTTTAGTGTGCTTTGGCTTCTTGTTTTTCTCTAGACTATTCCTTCAGGCTCACTGTATTTCGCTGTATCCCTTTGTATATGGTATATGTATGATGCACTAGAATGCAAGGCTGGACGACGCCACTGAACAGCAGATCGTCGGCTCTCGATCGCCTCGCTAGATCCGCGATCTTGGGTCTCATCGCCCCACCAATGCACTTGGATTGGCGATTCATGATAGTTTCCCTTTCAGACAACGATTTGCGAATGTAAACAATCCTGATTCCAGTTCGCCATGTACTTTTTTCTTGTTCAATCTTTTTGTTGTTCGCCCGTCGGTCTGTGTCTGTATCGCGATTAATTCTCCATTCGCGATTGTCTTGCGGGTCTCGGCAGCCACACGCTGTTCGGTCCATGTAGGCCTTCGCCTTGAAAGTATACACTTGAAAGTATTCAAGCACAAATCAATCGGACTTTGTCCCTAATGGCAGTTGTAGGTTGTCAGTTGACAGAAAGGAACAGGTAGACGTTGGTGAGGGGGAGAGGAGGGTATATGGACAGGTTGGTGCTGTTCTAGCCCTGTCCTTATTAAGGGACATGCGTCATTAGTGAGGTTCACCCTGCCCTATGGCAGAGTTAATCGACTTGAGTTGATTTCTTTGCAAGGTGGACGAGAAAGAGACGGGGAAGTTAGAATTTTGGAAAGAGAACAAGAAGTAAGAGAGGGCAAAGGATTTGTTTATTCACTGTTGATAGCGAGCGACCCTGACCGTTTGCGGTCTCTGCTCAATGTTTTCAAAGTGAAGCGACCTGAACATATGCCATGACAGGATGTCCGTTGTCCTTATGGCGGTATTTATGTTGAGCAGCCAGCTCTGCATGTTCTCCTGTGATGCCAGCTCGTACAGCTTCGAGGCGGATGACGTCACCTGATTTGAAGCTTGACGAAAGAGGTTTAGCGCCAATTGAAGCACGATGGTTCTTGGGCACCTCATAAATCCATGAACCATTGATACTGCGTCGAATTGCTTCATCGGTGCCAGTATAACGGGATTGACTTCAAAGAGATCACTAAATCTGGGACCGTGAGCCATTATTGATACGAGTGGCGTAGTCGTGTCTTTTTCCTGTTATAATAATTGGGACTCGCGGCGCAAGGCTGACCAAACAAAAGGTCGTACGAATACGACGTATGCCGCAAGTGACAGCCTTTACCTTGCAAAGCGTGCCGTTGCGTCCGGGAAAAGCTTTTAGGTTGGCTTGTGCGCTGGTTTAGATGTTGACACATGCCGCAGTAGGCCCCCGTAAATCAAAGGGCCATGATCATACAAGAGATTGACGTTTGCCAGCAATGGCAGTTTGAGTGAACACGTGACATAGCACGTGCACTTTTCTTAGTCATGTGTTGAAGATCCTGAGCACGCACTCCGTTGATGGCAGATTCCAACGCTGAGATTTGGCTTTATGTCCTCAGGAGAGATATGCATGTGAGAGTGGGTCGTGCCATCCGGGGAATTGCCACCCCATTTTAAGTGAAAGGTCCATTCTGGGGTTTCTTACGGAGTCGGGCCTCTTTGCTAAAACGACTTTTAGACAAGGACGGCCGACTTTTTCCGAAAGACTGTTGACTGTTGGGATTTTTTGGCTGCTTTTTGACGCCGGGCGGGTGCGCTATTCCTGCTGCACGCTTCGTCGGGCAAGCCAGGGGACAAAACAAGAACGGCAATCCTCGTTGGAGACGGAAGTGTGTTTAAGCGCGCTTCGAGCTGCCGGGTCTGCATTGCCTTTGTTCTCTCTGCTTCCCAGATCCTCTCCTCAAAAGTGGCTAATTACGTCGTGTTCAGCTTTGTTCCTTTGTGTATAGTCACATATTTACAAGTACAAAGCCGTCATCTTTTGCGGAGAGACCAAGAATTGACGGGATTGCAAGCAAAAAGGGAACGCGACTATGGGGGGCGGAACGGAGGAGAGAGGAGAACAACAGGACCAATGAACGGAGCCGGCATAGTAGGGACAAGATTTATCGGGAGCCAGCCAGCCTAACTGCCAAGGACTTGATCCTACGCTGTTCAGTGTGCGCTTCGGAATTGTGCGAAATAGTAAGGGAGGCCAGAAAAATGTCGTAGAAACCGGGCATGTCGCCATCGTGATTGAAGTACTTCGGGTCCTTGCATGCGAGCACGAGCTCGAGGACGCCATTTCGGCTTTTTGCATCTTGACCGACCGTTTTGATACCCAGAGAATGCCGATTTGCAATTTCCAATATGTGAGCTTCGAGGTCTGGGTGTCGATAGAAGTCGCCTATTGTCCTCCTCTAGTCCATTTTGTTGTCCGACTTTTGCCGACAGATGTGTAGTCAAGTTGCAATCGCTGCAGGTCCGGGATTACAGGAGGAGAGGGGCTACCAGGGGCAGGCCCGGCGCGTCAGAATCGGAGGTGGACGGAAGCAAATAGCTCGTGCCTTAGAAACATGTACGGAGCAGTTAACGACATTTGAGGTACTTTCCATCCCTGGAAATACGGAAATAGTCCGAGTTGAAACGTAGCCGGTGACCTCCTGTGTGACTTTTACTCTGTTTACAAAGCTATCCATCAGTTACGGGAGTAATACTCCGTATGCAATGGAACGGTCTCCGGTCCCCCTTTGCATTGTTCCTCTCACCCGGGTTGCGACCTCCCCTCACGAAAGCTATGGAGAAAAGGAACTGCCTGATCGAGATGGGGGAATCGTCTTGCATGGAGGGTGGGAGGGTTGTATTTTTGTAGCAGCCTTTGCTTTGGATGGCTTGTTTAGGTTGTGCCGTTTATTGAGACAATAGCAACCCCTGTCAGCTGCCAGTAATTACCCAGACTTGTTCAGAGCTTTCTTCTTACCAATCTTAGCAATACGGTGTACAACATCGTACGTTGTAATTACGTCGAGGCTACAGCTTCCGATCTAGGAGGCTCCACACAAAAACTGCCTCTAACGTGCTTTCTTGGCCCCATTCTTCGCAGGCACGTCTGGTTCAATCAAAAGTAGTCCAAGCAGACGAGACCTGAATGTCAAAAGCCTTGACAGGACGGTATTCTTGAAGTGGGCCTGCAACGTCTGCCGTGCCAATTACCTGGTTTGACAACTCTCCGTGTTTGGACAATTTGTGACTCCTCGAGCCTTGCCGATATGTTCCTGGACTCTGTACCTGTCTGTTATCGGTCTGTTGGCGATCGCCAATGTTCTAATTGAATCCACTTGTGCCCTTCTCCACCAGCGTAAACTTTGTAGAATTTGGACGACGTATCGAGTCCTTGACGACTAATGCACAACACACAATGTGTTGTGGCCTACAGGATTTTTTTAATGGCCTTGTAGGGTCCGCATTGTTCACCCGCAAAAATCCTCCACATCTCCCACTTGGTTCTTACTTGGTTCTTGATTGTTTGTGCCCCATCTTTCTTGGCCAGGCATTTCCAGTGTCTCGTTTGTCCTTCTTCACATTTTACCTTTCCTGTCCTAGCTGGATTTTCCCCAAAGCCACACTTCACCCAACCCCGAGAGGTCGTTCGTAATTACTTTCGATTTCCGGGCTCCCTGAGAGGCTGCGGCCTTTTACACCCTGCCTGGCCAGAAAACGGGACCTGCCGTTTTCAAGTTTATGGAAAATATTCTTGACATACTAGACTTCTCCATCACCGCAAGGAAAAGAATGATAAATAGATAGAAGATGATATGCAGCTTACGGTGCTTGAAAGTCCCTTTTCGAGAGCGAACCAGACGGATAATGTTGTCAAGCCTGGCCAGTTACGCAAACCATTGTCTTTTTCCTTTTCGCGTGCCCTGTCTCGCCTCCCCCGGATCCTCTCTTTCCCGGCGTCATTTTCGTTGCGAGTCTCTCGTCTCTCTTCTGTCGTTCGCCGCCACTGCTGGTTATGGAGCAACTCTGCATCTTCATCCCCGGGGTTTCTCCCCAAGCGCCCCGCTACAAGTTCACGGTCCCGGACGGAAAGATTAGAGGTGACGAGTTGCCGCTGTGTCTTCGGGGTATTGTAAAGCGTGTTGAAGAGTATTGGGCCGTCACTTCCATATCGTTTCGTGTACTTTTACCCATGAGATGACTTTGCCCTCGCAAAGTCACGGGCCTTTGAAAAGGCCAGCAAACTGCGGCCTTAATTATCAATGCAGGCCAGGGAAACAATCGATATCCATCGGTCGCAAATGTCTGTTGCCTTTATCCTGTTCCATACATTCTTCGTCAACAGAGAGGATACAAGTCACAAGCAATTAAATCCCAGGTAAATCAAAAAGGAGACCGCATGTACGAGGTAGCTACGGCGTATATCCCACCTCTCCACTTTCGCCTACCCAGCTCCTCTTGTCATTCTTTTCGTTCGTCTATGTTTCTCCGCTCTCCCCTGCAAATCCATCGGAATCGGAAGGTGGATCACACGGCAGCGAGCTACGCTTCGCCTTGGGATGTGTCTTCGGTCTGGTAAGGGCCGTCTTGTCTCGGCGAAGTCGCCTACTTGCCTCTTTTGTCAAATTAGGCATATACTTGCCCATACATGCCGAACACGCCATACGTTGGTGTGCAGCTGATTTCCAAGGTTGGTGTCATCTGGAAAGCCAAAAGGCGGCGAACAGACACAGCGCCGGGCGGCATAAGCAGGTCTCGTGCACATTAGCAGAATTGAGCTCCCCTGCCAGCAAACACCACATGATGACAGTCCGTATACGACAAACTTCGTACACCTTCCTGTTTCCTTCATATCCTCTTCGTGCGCCAGGGCTGCCTCCTTGGCCGGTCTCCATCTCCTGATGTCACCCCGTCCAAACTAACACACGCGCCTTGCCTAGACCGCCGCAGGTTACCATCGGGCTGCACCCCGTCGGTACAGAGGACCCATATTTTCTTCTCCTCTGTTCTTGAAAAGAGGACTACGATGGACCACGAAGTAGGACTTGCATTTGGCTGTACCTTGGCTTGCATCTCGTTGTGTGTGTTGTCTGCGTACATCTTTACAAACATGGCTCTCCCACGAGGAACTGGCTGTGGTTCGTTTTCCTTGGTCTAAACCAGTCTTTCACTTCTGGTGCTTTCTGGTCTTTCATTTAGCCCAACCACAGTGCCGCAGTCAAAAAGGAGACAAACACACTAGAACCTCACAACACCCCTTTCGCCAGTCCCCACCTCAAAGAGTAGCGGAGGGTGTTATTGTAGGGGAAAATACACTAATTGTGGACTTTGGGCATAGTCGTGCGCGATGTCTCCAGGTGACCCCTCATAACTGCGTTTTTTGTGGTTCTTTTTTCCTTTTTTTTTTTCTTCTTCCCTTGCTCTTGTATGCTCCGACTTGCCACTTCGTTTTTGTTGTATTCTTCTCGTACAAACTAACTTCAAGGTAGTCCCACCTAGAGTGAGTCCTTGCTTGCTCGATACTTCTTCCCCCCAATCCCCACTCTTTAGGGATGTCCACTTCACCTTCTTACGGAGCCTATCCACCTCCCCTCTCGCCTTTTTTCTGGGCCATTCTCCGTATTTTTTCCCTCGTCGTGATTTACTACGTTACCAGATGTCTTTCCTATTTTATTTCAATTTATTTTCTTTCTCTCTTACTTTGTTCCTTTTTTTGTTTTGTTTGCCCCGTGAACTCTTTTCATTTCGCATCTCTTGTGAATTGCTTCAATTTTTGACAGACTCAACCGCATCTCTTCAGCACTTTTACTTCAGACCCATCTCCACTCAACCGGCCTGCTTTTTTTGTTGCTGGCTTCGCCGCCGAACGTTCTGTCTCTCTTGACGTTTTCTGTATTACCCGCGTCGCCGACCCGAAGAATCTCCAATCCTCAATTTTCTTATCCGAATAGCCCCTGCTCCAAAAAGGCAAAAAAAGAAAAGAAAAAATTCCACCGATTTTACAACACGTGCAGTTAAAAGCGCGTCATCTTTGCTATCTTCTCGGGATTCGACTTGACCAGGGAGGTTCTCTCAAAATCAAATTCACGAGACGAAAAGTCCCAAAACCGCTGGCCTCGTTTCTAGTAGGGGGTCATATTCATGTCTCATAATCAGTTTTGCACCGTCTCACCTCTTGAATTCGCAGAAGAGGACCTCAAGAAAACCTCAAGAAAACCTCGGGCTCACTACACTGCACGTTGCAACACGCCAGACTTGCCGACTAATACCGGAGGACATCAGCGGGCTCTGCTGCATGACACGGTCTGCCACCCGTCTCTAACACGACGCAATACTCCACCAACCCAATTCGGCAACACGCAAAACATTACGCTGTCGCCCGGGCAAGCTCGGCACTAACCAACAAACACCATGGATGACATGTCGAGCCCCAACTCGTCCAACCTCAGCGTCTTTGATAGCGGCGCCGGCACCGATGTCGGACTGCACGATGATGACACTTCGCCTTTTAGCAGCACCAACGACAAGGGCACCGCCACCGGTTTTGCCAACCGCGAGAGTAGCATCCGCAGCAGCATGAGCAGCACGGCCAGCAGCCGCCCAATCATGCTCCTTCCGGCCACGGAACGTTCTGGTTCTATTTCTAACAGCTCGGCCAACGGCTCGCTGTCCCAGGCCACGGCCGAAAGCGCCAATGGCACCGCCCAGCAGCGGAAACGCCGGTCCAAGAAGACCGCCGGCGAGAAGAAGGACGCCACTGCGAGTGCCGCCTCGGATGGCAAAGAGGGCACGGTCACCAACGCCGCTGGCAAGGTGATCAAGCGCCGTGCCGCACGTGCCTGCGTCAGCTGCCGGAACCGTAAGGTCCGTTGCGATGTCGTGGAGACCTTTCCCTGCGGAAATTGCCGCTGGGATAAGATTGAATGTGTTGTTCAGGAGGGTCGCAGAAGACGGTGAGTTGCGCCCGACCATCTAACCATTTGCCCATAATTCTGCTCTCATCTATTAGACGCAGCAGCCACGAATGGCACTCGTTTGACCGACCGACTGACTGACAACTGCTTGTTCCTTTTTCTTCTTTTCTTGGCGATAGACGCGGTCTTTTCAACGCACGTGAAGCTGCATCTGCTGGCGCATTGCCTGGAGCCGGCGGGTCTTTCGGCTCACAAGATCTCAGGGGCCACAGCCATAACCAGAGCCATGGTATTGCGAACGGCGCAAACGGCAACGGTGCCAACCATGCCTTCGACAACGGCTTCGGCATGGTCGGTTCCGACGCGACCAAGGTGGCTGCCGCCCTGAACCAGGGCAACGGCGCCAGGGGCTCGTTCGACTTCAGCGGCCAACAGCGCATCAGCAGCAACCCGCTCCTGCTTCCCAAAGGCCCGATCCCGCAAACCGCATCCGTCGATCCCACGGCAGCGCCCATCGGCCTGCCAGGCTTCCCTCTTCTTCCGATCAATGGCGTTCTCGGCGATCCCCAGCAGCAAATTGCAGCCCTGTTGCCCGGCTTCATCCGCCCGCTACCCGGCAAAATGGCCCCCGAGGACATTGTGTACCTACACAGCAAAGGCGCCTTCACCCTGCCCGATATCACGCTCCAGAAAGCGCTCCTACACGCATACGTCGAATTCGTTCACCCATACATGCCGCTGCTTGAGCTTCACCCGCTCTTGGAGACGATCCACGAGCGAGACGGCAAGAGCGGCACCGTCAGCCTGCTGTTGTACCATGCCATTATGTTCACGGCGGCGTCATTTGTCCCAGCGAAATTCCTCAAGGCGGCCGGTTTTAGTCGGCGGAGAGAGGCGAGAAAGTCGTTTTTCATGAAGGCTCGGGTGAGTTGAGAAATAAAGGAGATAGACTTGTGCGTGATTTTGACAGGCTTCTAATGGTGGTTGTGTGTTCGTGGCAGGCCCTCTATGATTTCGATTACGAGACCGACCGTCTCACGCTCGTCCAAGCGCTGCTCCTGATGACCTACTGGTACGAGACCCCCGACGACCAGAAAGACACATGGCATTGGATGGGCGTTGCTGTGTCCCTTGCCCATACGATCGGCCTCCACCGCGATCCTCGGACGACCGGCGAGCCGATTCGCCGTCAACGTCTGCGCAAGCTTCTCTGGTGGTGCTGCTTCATGCGCGACCGCATGATTGCCCTCGGCATGCGCCGCCCCAAGCGTATTCGAAGCGAAGACGCGGACGTCCCGATGCTTACGCCGACCGATTTCGAAACGGCCATCCTCCCGGAAGACATCGATGTCGTGCCCACCGAATGCCGCCTCGTTCGCGATGTCGAAATGCAGGAGCAGCTGGCCGAACTGTGTGTGGAAAAGGCCAAGCTGTGTGTCCTGGTAGGCAACATGTTGCAGCAGCAATATACCATCCTGCCTCGCGGCCGCCAGCGGGGAAGCGACGCAGGAAGCAGCAATAGCACCATGATGCTCTTCCCGAACCGCCCCGTGAGCGACGACGGGAAAGGCAACGGACCGAGCGTCGTAGACAAGATTGATGCCAAGCTCCGGGCATGGCTCCTGGCTCTGCCTGTCTCATGCCGCTATGCTGCACTGACGCCGGCGGATGTGCAGAACGGCCGTGCGACGGTGGCCGTGCAGAGGACGCTGCTGCACCTTGTGTACCACACGACGATGTCGGCGCTTCACCGTCCGCGGATTCAGCCGGTGGCCGCCGGTGCGCCCATGCTTCCAATCGAGCTGCAGGAGTTTTCTCGCGCTCGCGTTCGGGACGCAGCCGACTGCGTCACGCGCATGGGCGGTGAGATGCTGCGCCTCCGCCTGGAACCATACCTTCCAACAGCAGGTGTCACGGTCTTTTTGCCAGCCATGTTTGCGCATCTGCTGGACATCAAGGGTGGCGTCCCGCGTGAGCGACGCCAGCAGGCTGTTCTTGGCTTCCTTACATGCATGCGGATCATGGAGAGTCTCCGTGAGACGTACGCTGCGGCGGAGATTGCCAAGGGCTTCGTCGAGTCACTGCTGAAAAAGGCCGGCATTAATCTGGCCGCGGTTGCCAACTTCAACGACGACAACGCCGCAGGCGGCATGAGTATCGAAGGCGAAGGCACGGGAACCAGCACACCCATCAACGGCGCGTCAGCATCGCTTCTCAACGCCACATCCAACGTCGGTGTTCCGTACACGGAAGACGGCATTGCCCATGCCGTTGCCATGTATGCGGCAAACACGCCGAAGGCCATGTCGGCGCGAACCACGCCGCCGGCCGACAACGAAATGGGCGGCCACGTGGGCAGCACGAGCGGCAGCGACAGTGTGAGCTACAGCAGCAGCACCAGCAGCAACGGCGTGAACAATAGCAGCCAGAACAAGCGCGACAGCACCCAAAACGGCAACACGATAAACCATGGTAGCCAGGGCTCCAATGGCCAAAATGGCAACCTCATGCAGGGCCTCCAAAACCACAGCAATAACACGGTGCCGTACATGCCGACGTCTGTAGCCGCAGCAGCGGCAAGATTGATGGAGCAGGGTCTTCAGCAAGCGGCCAGCGACCCTATGCCGATGTCGAACGGCAATGGCATTGCCACGGTCAACACGGCAGTTGAGCAGATGTGGGGCCTGACACCGTCAGGCAGTGCAGTATCGGAGGATCCGTTTGAGTGGGACGCGATGACGGCAGATCCGGCGGCCATGAAGCTGGACTTCGATCAGTGGCTTGACTTCCCGCCAGAGGGCATGGGCAGCAGCACCGATCATGCCTTTGTTGGGTTGTTCAACTCCGACTTTGGCAACGACTTGATGAACACCGACTTTTAGGCGCAAGAGCGGTGCCTTCCCTTGTTTAATGCCTTTTCCTCTACTTCTTTCAATTTTTGTTTGCTTTATAGGTTGCTGCCTTTGTGTAATTTGGATCCTGGCGTTCATGTTCTCAAAATGGGTTTCCTTTCGACAAGATTTTTTTTGTTATTTTCGGATGGAGCGATGGCAGTCCAAAAGTTCACTATCGTTTTCCGACGCAGGTACCTGCACATTATGAGTTTGGTGAGACAAAATGCAAGAGCACAGGAGTTTTCTGATTAATGCATTCCGTAATTGTGGTACGCCCGTCACGGCAATCGTGCATATGCACCTACCCGCACTTTCCCTGCTGACCATATCGGTTGCGAGGCAAGCCCGCCCCACCCATTTAAAGGTGCATCACGAATTATCCGCAGATGGCAGTCGTGACGATACACCTCGGTGTGTAGAAGGCAGTCGCGACCGGCAGTTCGTATATATGGTGTTTATGTGTGGCAGGAACCAGTGGCACACTTAACGTTCTATGTGAGCGAGAATATAGGAGAGTATCTGACAGTGCAAACCTGTACAGTGCAAGATACGTGTCGACGAATGTTGGCCAGAATTCAGAATTTGTCTATATATGCTCCTTTTGAACTTCAGCAGAGTACGTACGACCATAGACACTGGAAAGTACGGGATCCCGTCCGCTCTCCCCTAGTCAAACCAGTGATCGGCGGATTAGTAGTTGGGTCGGTGACGACCAGCGAATACCCGCTGTTGTACGTTTTTTTTTGTTATTTTTTATTAATATTATTTGGTTTTGTGCTCTCGTATTACCAATAAACGTAAAGTTATTAACTTCGCTTGTCAGCGCGAGAGGCAGAACATGACACGATGGAGCTGGGCTAGCTACGTCCTCGCAGCTGAGGCGCGGCTATGTCCACTATGGTCGGTGTTGTATTATTACGAAGGCACGGTCCAGGTCCTCACAGCGCCACCCACTGCTGTAGCGCACTCACGAGTTCAAATGACAATGAAAACAAGAAACTACAAGGGGCTATTCCAGGCGCGCCTTGGTCCCCTCCTATTTTGCATTAACCCGCTCACATGGGAAGGGGCACTCCGCATACGTTCGTAATGGGAGCAATAAAATTCCATTAAAAAATTAACGAAATTAAATGCGAACGAAAACTGCCCCCCGACCACGCAAAATCTTAAGCGACAGGCCGTCTTTTTACGACATGCGAGCGAGGGACAGAACGAGAGGGGAGAATAGGCACATGCACGAATGAAACAGCGGCTGCCAACCTGTCTTACGTTGCATGATGCGTTGTCTCGCTGCTTCATCTCCACCTCGCTTTTGCGTCAACCTTTGACGGTCGTCCCTTCCCACCAGCGTCTATTCAGGCCCCGTCGTGCCTTCTGTCGCTTGGCGTGTCTTGGGATTTGTTTTCTTTCGTTTCTCGTTTGTTCCTTTTGTTTCTCCGCATCAACACCGCCCTTCTCGGCCTCGCGACGCTTCTGTTCAACACTTTTCGTCGTCCATCGCGCAATCTTCTCTTTGTTATTGCTGTTGTTTTCGCTCTCTCTTTTCATTTCCCATCGTCTCATCCCCGACCATCGACCTAAACCTGTGGCGATCCAGGTTTCCGCCGACATCCTTAGCTGTCCTTCGCCGATTATCAGCTCGACTACCCTCCTTAATACTTGCTCCGACTCTTGTCTCCGATTCGCCGACGCGTTCACGCCACTCACTTAGCCTCAGTGCGTATACGAACGCGACGATTTTTGTGCTGCGCTCTTTCGACATCCAGAACATTCCCTTGACTTTTGCGATCTGGCGGCGGTCCACACGAGTTTTTTTTCTGTTTTGTGTCTCTGTGAGGTCACGCATAACAAGGGCCGAGAACAGGCGATCCCAGAAGCTAGAAAGCAGGCTCCAGGCTGCAGAAAGACGCAAGGGACTGTGCAAAGACGACTAGTCACAGCCGAGTGGGAGAAATTGCTTGCTCACGGGAAGCAAATATGACCGCGCCGCAATAGATGGCAAGGAAGCTGCCCATTACTTCCCCACAGTTGGCTTTGATTGCGGTGCCCTGGTCGCGAATTCGTACTCTTTTCTTCAACTCTTCCCTTCGGTTCCCAACAAAAGCACCTGGAGAATGAGCGGCTTTCCCATCCTCGCGGCGCCGACGCCGCGCCTTTCCGTCCCGAGCCGACAGTACTACCGTTCCGCGTCTGGGTCCCCTACGCGTCAACACTTTCAACAACATGTCGACGACCTCATCTCACAGTTGACTCCGGCGACGGCTGTGTCGGCACTGCGGTTCCCCACGGGGCCTTTGAAGGCTTGCTTAGACACTGCCACGGCTACAGAACAGTCATTTGCAATGCATGCCGCGCTGGCCGCGAGCAGCATACAAGAATGGCTTGATGAGTTGACTGACTGGCCATGGCCGGCGGGTGGAGGCTCCGGGGGCTTCGAAGAGCCGGTTCATCGGGGTGGAAAGCTGTTCACATCAACGTCGCCAGCATCCTCCCCGCCTATATCGCAGTCGTCACCTATCACACCGGAGAGACAGGTCCTGCGTGCCGCGAATGAGACATCCGATGTGAACATTGGACGGTCCTGGATGGGCAGTCTACGAGCTGCAGATGTGACCTTGTACGGAGAAAGAATTACTGAGATTGGGCACGAAATCGACGACCTCGAAGTCGAAGACATGAAGCAGCATGTTCTGCATCACCATATCCTACCCCTGTCGCCGCCCGGTACACCCTCAATAGGAGGACAGCCGCACTCTTCGTCCGTATCGACTACAACTTTTACAAAACTGGATGACCTATCCGCCGTTGTCACCGCCATAGTGCTCCAGACTCTGCCTTTGCTTTCCAAACTGGTGCGGTTGTTGGACGTATGGCGCATTCGCTTGCTAGTCCTGAACAGGATCCCTTCGTTCCTTGCCTCTCTTTCCGCTGCTGAGGTGGCTATCCAGTCGGCCTGGAATGCAGTTTACCCAGACAGCAAAGATAGCAGACCGAGTCAGCTCGTGAACCTGGTCGATGGCCCAACATTAACGCCACAGGAGTTTGCTATTATGAAGTCGGTCGTGGAAGGAAAGGTGTCCAAGGCGGCTCGAACAACAGACTTTATGTTGGATGCTCTGGACGGTTTGGAAGATACCATCCCAGAGCAGTGGATTGATCGTATCGATGCCGCCGAACGCGACTACAGCGAATGGGTTGCTCTCTGCGAACGCAAAATTCGGGAAGCCGACTGGAAGACAATTACGGCAAAGCGACCAACCCTGTTGCCACCGGTGCCAATAGACAATGCTCCCCCTCTCGCAGCTGGTTCGACAACTCCTGATGATGGAGCTCCGAATGTCAGAAATGTGTTCCCGATTCTGCCGCAAACACCACCTCTGGCCTTGTCCGCACGTAGTTCTCTAGAATCGCTGCGGTACGAACCACAGCTCCCTTCGTTCCATTTAGCCAAAGCCCACCACGACAACGACATGGAACTTGATTCGCCTACCGCATCTGTCATCCACATAACATCTAATGCACTACTCCCGAGTGACACTGATCTGGCCAGTGATGCTCCAGTTTCTCGAAGCTATTCTGACAACGCCGCGAGGGATATTCCTGACCTAGGAGAACCGTCTGAGATTGCCGAGACCGAGAATCTTGGAGACCGCCAGGTCTCCGATGCCAGCCCTTCCAGCTCGCCGCCCGATTTTAGGGCTAGCATTCGGTCTACCGTCACGTTCAATGATATGCCGACCGTTGCAGAAATTCCTGGCGAGGAGAGCCCAACGAACCCGAAAATGCCGGTTGACTCTTCTTTCGTGTTTGAAGATATCGTGAACGATGATTCAGAGCTGCCCCAAGGGATGCCGTCCTATTTGGAGAGCCCTGGCAGTCCTGACAGCCCAGCGAGTGTTAGCAGCCGGCGGATGAGCGTCAGTAGTGAGGACGACCAGCTCCAGCAGCAGATCAGCGAGATCCTAGAATCGATTCCGGCTAAGATCCACCTCTCATCACAGCCCTCTCCTTCGTTTAGTCACCTTAACCCGCCTGACTTTAAGCTGCCCCGGAAACCAAAGGCACCTGCGGATAACGCACGAAGCTTGTCTAGCATGTCGTCCCGGTCTTTGACGCCGTCTTTCCTCCTTGCACCTGCCTACTCACGTAACCCACGGCCGCGCCAGCAAAAAGGCAATCAAGAAATCAAGCTGTACCACCTCTCACGGTCAACGGGCGAGGCACCGATAAAGCTGTTTATCCGCCTCGTCGGCGATAACGGAGAGCGTGTCATGGTGCGCGTGGGCGGCGGTTGGGCGGATCTGACGGAATACCTGAAGGAGTATGCGAGCCACCACAGCCGACGCTCAAAGAATGGCGGCGAGAGCAAGATCGAGATCCGCGACCTGCCACTGTCATCGTCGGTCGCGGCGTCTCTGAACAGCCGTGTTGGGTCGAGCCCTCCGAGCCGACCCGGCTCGGCACTTGATTCGCCGGCGGCGATGGCCCCGCTCAATATTCGCAAAACAAGAAGGGCCACTCCAACTTCCATGGGCGACGAGAGCATCGCAAGTATCAAAAATGAAAGCGGCGTCCCCACCAGAAACCCGCGGACGCCCCTGGCATCCATGAGCAAGCCATCAAACGCCACGCCACCTTCGGACGCGTCATCACGTTCGCGGTCTAGCTCACGGTTGAGCTGGACGGAAGAGGACAGCTCACTGGGCATGTCGGGACCACGCGCCAAAAATATCGAGATGAGCGAGGAGAGCAAAGCATGGGTCGAGAGCGTCAAGGAACGCGTGCGTATTGCAAGTGGCGAGCGCCGGATCTCGGACCAACTCGAGGGCAAATTCGGGGAGATAGGCAAGGTGGGCGGGACCAAGCGGCTGTTCCGTAAAGGTCCCACAGGGAAGGGATTCAGCGACAAGTCGTAAGGTTTCTACCTCCGTCGCTGTCAGTGCCACTCCGGGATGTTTTCTGTCTTTCTTTCTTTCCTTTTTTTTACTGGCATGAGAGCTTCCAACAGGGAGCACACGTGGGTGTTTACTATTGTGCGAACCAGCATTCAGTCCCCTCTGTCGTATTTTACACATTTGTTTTGCACATCAAGAAGGGCTACATCTAGTTTTGCTTTTTGTTTGTTTATGCTTTCACTTTTTTTCCAGTCTTTCCGCCTGCCAACAGTTTCCTTTGTTTCTGAAATAATACCCCAGATTTCTAGTTGTCGTTCATTTTTCTTCACCGGATTGCGACCGCAGTCTGAGACTACCTAATAGAACTACACACCAAATTGGTGTCCTTTTTTGTAATACATTTCTTTTCATTGTTTTTAATCGTTTAGGAATTTTTTATGAATCAGTGGACGGGTTTTTCTACGCGTCAGCCACACTCGCGTGTTTCAAGTTGGGGCTAAGAGATGAGAACGATGCCGTCCATGTCAATGTTTGGCGTTGACTCCGCGAAACTCCGCACGGTGAGAATACACGAGACTGCTGCGATATTTCAGTGATCACCCTGTAGTCCACACAGCTTTGTGGCCTTTTCGACATGCCCTTTCGTTAGATTTGGTGATTTCCCTGACAGTGCTTGACGTGAGGGAAAACGACGAATATGAAACAAGAAGGCGTGCTCCGTCGGCCGACAGCATCGGGGTTCCGGTAGCCTTGTGGATATGTTCATTCATCTTTGGTTACCATCTGCTCTGATTTGGCGTTGACGCATCATACGACGCGATAAGTGATAAGTGTAGCGAGTCAGGCTTTGCGAGACCCCTAGACCGCCATTGGATTACATCGCCACCTCTGAAGTGAGCTATGTTTCTTTCATGGACGTATTTTCTGCCAACCCTTTAAATTCAAAGGACCCATCGGCACGCAGCGACGAGAGCACAAAAAGACCAAAGTCCTATAAGGCCCTTCCTCATATTTCAGCCGCAGGTCGCAGCGCCGTGTGTCGGTCACCGACAAAATCTAGCGAACGGCTGTCATTGGTTTGGTTTGTGTTCAGTTCCTAGCTAATTGACCTTAATTTTGTGTACATACAAATGACGGTCCCCAACAAAATCAAAGGTACAACGAAAATGGCGTACCCTTCTCCGTCGTTTGGAGACGCGCTCCAAAAGTTGCATGGACTACAACCCAGTTTAAGCACTTGAGCAGATGCCTTGCTGGGAAGTGACGGGAATTAGACAGCGAGTTGGGGCACGACAATATTGATTTCCAAACGAACAACCAAAGATAGAAGACACAAGAGACAGGGTACAGCACTTCACCGGAACGAAGAGGAGGTACGGAGAAACAAATGAGACGGCAGGCGGTGAGATCATTGCACACCGTACGACATAATCTCACATGTCTCGGAGTGAGTTGGGTCGTATCCAGTTATCTTTTTCCAATTTCGGATATCCTGGGGACTGTACTGGTCATAAAAAGTCCTACGGCACTACGTGTTGTCGCCGATGTTGCCTTACGCTTACCCCAGACTTTTTTATATCGGGGGCGAGGAACCGGGAAGACCAAGGCAGATAAAAATCGGGGAAAAGAGGGTTGGTTGACAAAGGAAGTGCGATAATCAGAGCCGTGTCCTGCCAGGCTCATCATCGGAAATCAAGACTCCGCGCTTTTTGCCCTTTTTGCCCTTTTTGCCCTCGTCTTCTTTCAGGCATCCGTCCGAGGCCCTTCGTACACCGTTCGTGGGCTGCTTAACTTCATCTTGGACTGTCCCTTTCACCGTTCGTGCTTGTCTGATTCATATTGCCAGAGAGAAGACGTTTCTTCGCGGTCTTTGGTGGCTATCTTGGCATCAATTCCACCGCCCCATTTCCCCAACTCCCCCCTCCCCCCCTGGCACACCACACACGCACACGCCACCTTAAAAAGGCACAGTGGCACTGCCTTGACTTATACATGACAAAGAACTTCATGTTTTGGCGGAGTCTGTTGAGCAACTGATGGAAAGAAGAATGGGTGGAAGCGACAAGAAGTCAAGTGATGTCGGAATAGGGCAATCGAACCAAAAACGGGCGTCGATTGTCCGTGTTAGACCGTGATTCGTGGTGTGTCTTTGCGACATGCCCTTGCGCTATCCGAATGGGCGTTTCCATTACTTCATACCGCCCTCCAGCCAGGGGAGTGCCAGTGCGTAATGCACGACGCAAGACGCAAAAGGACTTCATGGAAACTGCGCTCTATCTTATACAAACCCGAAGCGTAGGCGCAAGACTTAAACTTGGAGTCTCTGGATTCCTAGTTGTCTTTTGGGCTCCGGTTTATTTTCGATGTATTGTCATGGATTCCTGCAGGTCAACGTGTGATTTGTCTCGTGCCCTCCTTGCAGACGTAGCCATGCGAAAATAGAAAGAATTAGAAATTCAAAAATCAATTAGCGAATAGAAAAATAGAAACAGAAACAGAAACGCAATCAGATACTTTGTCGCATTCTGAGAAGCCGGGCCAAACCCCGATAACAAAATGTCGTTGGTATGTTTTCGTATTAACATGCGAGCAATCAGTCCCAAAAAGGGGCCAGGGACTGAGTATTAGTTGCGCGTTGGAGATGCAGTTCCAGACAATGAAAACCCCAATTGGAATAGACAACATCAATGGACGACCTGTGATTCCTCCCTTTGCCTTCGTTTTCGTGACGTGTGGGGAAATGGCTATTGCTCTTGGGTTGGGCAAATATTGGGTTCTTTCGCTAGGTGTATTCCTCTCTTGGCCCTGGCCTCTTTTCGTTTTTGGGGACATCCCCACCTCCGATTTTGCTCCGTAGGGCGACAAGGTCTGGACCTGATCCTTGACGTTTTTGGGAATTTTGGGGGGGCCTTGGACTTGGCCGTCTAGCTAGTCTATTTTCGGCCTGGACTCAGGTTGTTGAAGTGGAGGACGAAAGCCGACGTAAATAGACAGAAACTCTCCAAAACGAAACAAGCTCACAGGTAGGCGCGGTCCGAGGATGGCCAGTGCAAAAGTGCCGGAACATCGACACGCCACCGCGTACTCCGCCATTGTACGGCTACGGCGCTGCGCGCGTTAGTAGACAGAGAACCACGTCCGTGTTTGTTGTAGGGTCTATGACAAAGCATATGCTTTTCCTGTTTCGTGACTTCTGTGTATACGGTTTTCGGGTTTCGAATTCTTACCTATTTTGTGATGCAGATTGAACTCCAACTCCTGAATTTTCTACTTCCCGGCCCTAGCTTGGAAGGCCTTGCATTTCAGTCCTTCCCCTCGTTATTCTTCACTTCGTGATCTTTCATGGGCTATGTTGTACTCCGTGTTTGTAAACGACATGGCCGGTGCAGACTATGTCGGCAAACAATTGAATGAAAATGACAAGAAAAAAAGAGGAAAGTGAACAACAGGAGGGCAAAGAGGCCCACAAGGAAATCCGATGACCTGAACTGCTCTCATCCTCGGGATCTATTTACAGACACGGTCTAAGGAGCCTAGACTAGCAGACTTGGGATAGCCGGGGCTCGGTTTCCTTGTGACATCCGGACAACCTGCGGCTCCATTTTCCTCAACGAAATGCATACGGAGCAAAAGAATGGGGACTGACGCCTGTGCATCTCTGCGGGAGTACAACGGTACCTGTATCTAGATCTATAAATGGGCAGAAGTGGAACAATCACTTTGGCGGGAAGATTTGCACGAGGCAGGTATTCTGTATCTCAGAACCTCGAAGCACAAGATACCAGGGTGAAGCACAAGGCTAAGAACCAAGAACTAAGGCCAGAGAGTATTGGCGCGCCACGAAAACGACGGCCGTAGAAGCTACCCATCCAGATACTGGGCCTGAATGATGCTGAACGGAATCTAATTGGTATTTGCGGTAACCGGGGCGTATGTTGACAGTCGTCCAACCTGAGGGTGAAACTTCATGCTTGCCAGAATTCGCTGTATTTTCCAACGTGGATGTGCTATGTGTCGCTAGTTTGCTATTCTTATCGTGCAATAATACGTGTATGAATTAGGCTTCTCTTGATATGCTTCTGTTTTATGTTTATTTCAACTTTAACTCTGTGTTACTTTATACAATATATATATATATATATATATATATATTAGCTATTTATTTCCTTGTAGTAAACCTATAGCTAACCATTGCCTGTCTATGCAGATTCTTCAGCAAATACAAAGTCACAGAATCATAAGAGCGTCTCTGTTTTGATACATGTGGAGACAGTCGAGTCTACTTCACAAGTTTTATTCATAATATCAAGGAAAATCGAGTGCTATTGACATGTATTTGCATGTAAATAATAAGGTAAGGCGAAAGAAAAGCATTTCCCCATACTGTCCAGGCCTCGTGACGTGGTCGGGCTATGGGAATTTACAGCGCAATTGCTGTTGGTCCATCCTAGGTCGACGCAAGTACATGTGGAGTTGTGGACACGCAACTTGCACATGCATTTTTTGAAGGTACTTTGCCAATACATGTGACCAATGTGCAAAATGGCACACAGAAAGAGCATCTTGAAGGCGGAATTGGGACGGCAGGATTGGACCTCTGAGGTGATCATCACACATTAAACGCCATCTTTTATTGTTAAGAACGGCCTGCTTGCCGTCGGTATCTGTCGATCTTTGCTCCCAACTGGCTGCCCTTGTATTCTCGACCTTCTCATTGCTGCTTTCCCGCTTCTTCTGTTTCCTGGCGTCGTCCACAATCCACTCTCATCCACTCGTTTTGGGTGGCTCGACCACATGTCTTGACGGTCGAAGTATGACTGAAACTTTCCCGTAATTTTCCTAGCCGTTGCAAACATGAAGCACATGCATAAATGTCGGGAAGACAAGGAGTAAGGTTGAAGGTGCTTCCTACAAGGCGAGCAAGGTTATGTCCAGTTACAAGCCGAGTTTGAGACAGCCGGCTGAGAGACGTTTAGAGTCTTTCAAAGTTTGTGTTTGCATCTGACGTTGAGACACTGGGATGAAAGGAGAAACACCGAGAAAAACACGAGAGGGGCTGACACGACGAAAACGAAAGCAATTATACACGGATTTGCTTTTTATAAAAAAAGCAAGGGCGAAAACACAAGGGACGAAACGGAACAACGTCCGGGGAACACATGCATACGACGGTATGGACCCGCCACGCGTCTCACCGACCCCTTACCTTGTAATTCGTCCGTTCACCATGCACGACGCAGAAAGTCGTGTGGTTTCTGTGTCATCTTGTTTTCTTCTCACATCCCCTGTCCTGTTTTCTTTTCGTCTATCAGCTGTGTTAGATTGTCGGGTGAAAATCGAAAATTAAACACATAAGTTGTAATCTCGACAAATGGGGCCAGAGGAAGGGATAAAATAAGAGGCGTAAAAGAAAGCGACGAGCCCTCTGTGAATTCCCTACGGCCGTACAATGATAGGACTCCGTACAAAATGCAAGGCGTCCACCGAGCTTCCTCAAACCCATGGAATCAACTGCCATGGCATTAAAGGTAACTTAGCTGGTCCTATGGCCTCCCCCAGAAATGTCAAATTAGGAAAGCAAGGTCCAGCGCCCAACGGAAAGAAGTTTGAGCATGGTGGAGCACTGTGGGACTTGTGTTCATGGTGGAAAGTTCTTCCCCTTTTTGCCTTCCCTTCCTTCTTCCCTACGACGATAGAGATTACTCCGTAACACTACCTAAAACCTCGCCTGTTTGTTGCTTCCTGAACGCCCCGGTAGGCCGTACTCCGTATGGGGCAGGAGGACCTGCCCTTGCACCGCTGACCGGTGGAATGGGGAAATACAGAGCTCTTTCCCTAGGTTTTTGCCATTTTGGGAACTTTTACCCAATGCCAACAGAAAAGGTGGGGACCTGACACTGGAAACGCAGGGTTGTGCAGTGGTTACAATGGCAGAATGGCTCTCCTTCCTTGACAGGTCGGGAAAAGTCGGAGCCGCAGGGGTATGTGAGACTAGCAGCTACACATCAGGGAAGAAGCGATGGGCTATTTTCCCGCCATCGTTATTAGGGGGCCTTTTTGTCGAAGCTAACGGGTGCTACGTTTGACGCATTACTGTCTACAGGGTTTGAAGCCTTTGCACAGCTCTTTCGACCACTTATACCAGCGCCGGGCCGTAGTGCAGAGCCAAAGTTCCAGGTCGCTTCTTCCTGTAATGTGACTCACAGCGAAGCTTGTGACAGAGCCCGCGATGGCGATGCGCTGGCAGCTGTTGCCGACGGTCTACATGTGTTTACTCCAGTTCGTGTTCGAAGGCAGCTCACATGCTGGGGGCAAGAGAGTCAGCCAGGGAGCCATGCGGCCATCGGCTGCTTGTTTCTCTTGTGTGCAAATAAATGGCTGTTTCCCACATGCATAAACTTGTGGTCTCTTGAAGGCAGCTTGCTCCGAGACGGCACGCCGTGACATGGCCCAAGAGGAGCAGGAACGGCGACTGCTCTTTGCGTGTCTCTGCGCCGGAACTCCTATGATTGCTGCACCTGTCTCCTGCTTTCGTCCACACGTCCCGCTCTCAGGTTCCGACCTCTTATTTTGTCAAACGGCAATCATATGGTTTGTCAATCCCTTTCTCGTATTTTTGCAGACTTCGTCTCGTCTGTATTTTCCTTCGTCCCTCGACAAACGCTGCACATCAACAGAGCAAACATTACAGTCGAAAGCCGTGCTATTGAATAGATGTTCGAAGTAGTAATCCACAGGGCCCACTCTACAGTACGGCGAATCACCCATTGGCTCGATATACGCTCTCTTCTCCTCTCGGAACCCAGTCACAGGTGCATGCCGGTTGATCTAGCGATCCGAAGTGTGGCTCCCTGCAGAGTTAGCTTGGGCTGGGGGGACAGGGAGGCACGGAACAGCGAGAGACCTTTGGGGATAAAGTAAATAATCAAACAACTGTTCGTACTTCGTAACCTGAGTGCACGAGCCCGTGTACGAAGTAAGACACCGTTCCGGACCTTCTGACCGTTGTTTGGCCTGTCAATCCCCAACACCCGTTATCACTCGACAGAAGTCCTACGCTTTTGTGCTCCGTACCCCGGAGCTGTCATTTCATGCCCCATTTCAGTAGACTTTTGCTTTCCTATTTCTCATTGTCTTTCATCATCCTGTGCCCAATGTGGCCCACATCTCACCGTACGGAGAATTGCACTGCGTATTTCGTACTTCGTACACTCGCAGGAACCAGACATCCGTACTCTGTGCTTTGGCTCACCCTTCCTCACAAAAACGAAGCCCTTTGTCACCGGACTTCCGCCGTACAAGGCAGGTGCGTCCTGGACTTGCTTCGTCCCCAACAAAACGCACAGCCCTCCCTTGATCTCTCTGTTGTTGGCCGCAAAGTGCGGTGTAAGTCATGGAATCGGAGTCCGCCGTCGCTGGTGCGGTTTGTGCCCGAAGTCTCCTGTCCGAGATACCCTGGTCGGTCTGATCGGCCTGATTGTTCCTTCCCATGTCGGTTCGTCCTCCACTTCTGTTCCCTTTCTATTTGCAATTGCGACGTGTGTTGTACAACTACCCCCAGCCCTCGTGCCTCCTTTTAGAAACCATTGTGTAATCCGTTGAGCATGCCCGAATACGACCGCTTGCCTGTTTTGCTTTACTGCGTGGCTCGTCCTGCGTGCAGATGCTGAGCCGATTGTCGCCATTGCGCACAGAGTGATCAATCCTTGCAGCACCTCCGCTTCGAGGAAGGAGCAACTGCCAAGAATTCCCCAAAGCATGTCTTTTAAAAAATAATCCTAAAAGTATGGAAACATGATAACGAATACTGGATTGCGTCTACATGCGCATTCTTCATTCGGTTGGTCCCACGTGTAAGTACCCAAGGTACTGGGTACTTTGAAACAGCCCGGGCGATTCCGGCATGACCAGCCAGGCACGCGTATGCACTCGGCGCGACCAGCTTGGTACGCACTGCCCGTTCTTGCTACATTTGGGAAATTCGAGAATGATGCGGCGCACCTTCCATGACAACGACCCCCCCCTTAACGTCTTCCCCGAAGGGCTCCACACCTTTTTGTGATATCCACTCTGATTTGCAGCATCGACATCGTTCCCAAACAGTCAATTTTCCTTGAAGCAGTTCGACCTCCCTTGGCAACCGCAGCGGACTATACTGTTAACACTCCCTTTTATGTCTATTTCCTATCCTTTGAGCTCGTCTCTTTGTGTCTCTTTCTGTCTGTATCTCTTTCTGTCTCTTCTCTTCGTCACTTCCTCTCTCGCTTCACGTCTTTGAAACGCGCCTCCGACGACATCTTTATTCGTTCCTGTTTGCTCACCTTTTCATCCCGTCGTTTTGCTGGTCGATTGGCCTGTGTTTCTACGCTCCCTCCGAACGCTTTTTTGGATTTCTCATCTCCCGTCTCGTCCACACACACGCCCCTTGCCGTACCCATCACACCCTACGAGACCTTGCAACGACACGACCTCCATCCTCCTTTTCTGTTTTACCTACCCCCCGACTTGCCCCCCTGGCCCCGGCCTGCCCATCAATCCATGCCCAGGATATCAGCGTCCGCATGGGTCTCAGCAGCAGCTTCTCGGACCCCACAGCCAAGTCACTCGATACTGCGCCGTCGACAGACCTTAAATGGGCTAAAGCTCGCCAGTGTCCGCAGACTTCGACGAGAACAACCGTTCTTTGTCAACTCTCTGTCGCATCTGCAGTCTAGCCTTTCGACTACACCGTGCATGCTCTATTGTCGTCCTACTACCACAGTAGCCAAAGTCAAAGTCTCCTTCTCTTCGACCTCGTCTCCGTCTGCACTTACAGCTGCTCGTTTTCCTCTTCATCCCTCGTCATCTTCTTCTGCTCTCTCGTCGACTCTGGCCAGTCGATCCTCTGCAGCTCCAGCCCATATCCCGAAAGCAACAGTCCCCTTCGGCGCCCACGCCGATTTCTTGCCATCTATTAGACGCCGCTATATCTGCAGCTCCATCCACTCTACCCCGAAAGACAACACCAACGACGCTAACACCACTAATACCTCCATCACCTCCACAACCTCCACAACGACCGCCGCCTCTTCCTTTCTGCCCTTTCTCCTCACGCTCATCCATCCTCACCTGCCTACCTTTTGTTTTCGTCCCTTTTTGTTGACTCCTCTTTTCACCCGTCCGTCTCCTCTCCTCCGTTGTCGCCACCACCTGCGGCTTTCTGCAATGGTGCCCATGGCGTCATATTCTACCAGCAATTCCACTTCGTACGCCTCCACCCCGCGCTCTTCGTCCCCATCTGCGTCCGTAGCGTCCGCCCGGTCGTCTCAGTCATCTATATCTAACAAGCGCCTCTCCCTCTCGTCCACCCGTCGCGCTTCTGCTTTAAATCCAATGGCCTCCGTCGACATTTCTGCCATTGAAGACGCTATGAAAATGGCTGCCCTCGACCAACACCGTGGATACTCTCAAACAAATTACGGCACCGTCCAGCAGACACAAATGACCGAATACATTGCTCAACACCGCGCTGGCGGTTACCAGGTCCTGCGCGAGGCGCACTGGAACAAGGGTGAGTTGAGAGAAATCAAAGAGAAAAACCGAACAAAACAAAAGTTTACAAGATGATTTTGTGTTGCTTCATGTTGTTGTTTGCTATCGTTGGATACCTGAGCCCCCCCCCCCCCCCCCCCCAACCAAGAACAAGAACAAAACCTTACTCCCACTCTCACCATCATCTCATTGGATTCACTCGCCTTGTCTTCCTTCCATTTTTATCTAACAATGACTACCAGGTCTGTCGTTCACCCCCGAGGAGCGTGTCTCCAAGAACCTGACTGGCCTCGTGCCTCACGTTATGGAGAGCCTGGACATGCAGTGCCAGCGTGCCCTCAAGATGGTCCGCTCGCGGCCGACGGACGTGGACAAGTACCTGTACCTGTCGTCCATCAAGGGTGAGAACGTCGATCTTTTCTACCGCCTGCTCATCGACAACGCCCGCGAGCTTATGCCGCTCGTCTACACTCCAACCATTGGCGATGTCTGCCTCCAGTACTCCACCATCTACACCCGCCCTGAGGCCCTCTACATCTCCATCAAGCAGCGCAACAGCATGAAGACGATTCTGCGCAACTGGCCCCACCAGAAGCCCGAGATTTGCGTCGTCACCGACGGCTCGCGCATTCTGGGCCTTGGTGACCTGGGCATCAACGGTGTCGGCATTTCCGTACGTCTTTTGCGTTTCATTGCTGTCTCTCAGTTTGCGGTTTCGTATTTGCTCTCCTTATTTTCTTTCCTTATGCTAACAACCGACATAGATTGGCAAGCTGGCTCTTTACACCGGCGCTGCTGGCATCCGCCCTAACAACACCCTCCCGATCGTCCTTGACTGCGGCACAGCCAACGAGCACAACCTTAAGGATCCCCTGTACCTGGGTATCCGCTCCAAGCGTGTGCCTGTGTCTGAACAGCAGGATTTTATGGACGAATTCATGGCGGCATGCGCCGAGGTCTACCCGGACATGGTGGTCCAGTTTGAGGATTTTGAGAGTGAAAAGGCCTTTAAGTACCTTGACCGGTATCGGACGAAGTACCGGTGCTTCAACGACGACATTCAGGGCACTGGTGCTGTCGTTCTCGGAGGGTAAGTGACATACTCATGATATGCAGCCTTTTGCCACCCCCCTCCCACGACCGACTTACACGGGTCTTGGCATCACGTGACCTAACTAACACGTTTCCCTTCCTCGAACAGCTACATTGGTGCCGTGAATCTGTCTGGTGTTCCTCTGGAGGAACAGCGCCTGGTGTTTATGGGTGCTGGATCTGCCGGTGTCGGTGTCGCCAAGCAGCTCGTCGAGTACTACACGCGCCATGGTCTCTCAGAACAGGCTGCTCGTGACAAGTTCTGGCTGGTGGACACCAAGGGTCTTGTTACCAAGGACCGTGGCGACAAGCTAGCGGAACACAAGAAGTACTTTGCCCGCAGTGACAACAACGGCCACCAGTTCAGAAGCCTAGAGGAGGTCATTGAGTACGTCAAGCCGTCGGCCCTGGTTGGTCTAACGGCCACATTCGGTGTTTTCACCGAGTCTGTGGTCCGCGCCCTCAAGGCCTCTGTCGATGCTGGCGGCCTAAACCGGAGACCCATCCTGTTCCCTCTCAGCAACCCCCTGACCAAGGCCGAATGCACTTTTGAGCAGGCTATCAACTGGACCGACGGCACTGTCATTTTTGCCTCAGGATCGCCGTTCTCGGCCTACACCGTGAAGACGGCGGACTCGAGCATCACCTACTACCCCAACCAAGGCAACAACGTCTACGTGTTCCCCGGTCTGGGTCTGGGTGCCATCATGGCCAAGGCTACAAGTATCACTGATGAGATGGTCTACACGTCAGCCGCAGCCCTTGCTGGCAGCTTGAACACCGAGGAGCTCCGCATGGGCCTCATCTACCCTCGCATTGAGCGTGTGCGCGATGCCAGCCTTGTGGTGGCGCGCGAAGTCATGAAGGCGGCCCGTCGCGATGGCGTCAGCACCCTGCCCGAGGAACAGTGGATTGAGTGGGAGGAGTGGGGCGATGTTGCTCTGACCAAGTACATCAAGCACAAGATCTACGACCCTCGCCCGTAGAGGCCAACGACACAACGGTCTCTCGTGCTTGTATCGTGTGGGAGAGTTCGGATGAAAAAAGACAGCTTGCTTTTCTTTACTTTCGGATTACGAGCGCGCGCGTACCCTCTTTTTTTCTTTGATTCCTTGAACGCACCCTCCAGCCATTTCCTGATTCGCCAGTTTTCTCTCGTCACCTAAGAGTGTGGGTTTTTCGTTGTTATTGTTTTCTTGCATTTGTTTTCCATGATTCCCGTTATTCATTACATGGAGAGTCAGGGGCTGAAAGCATGGATGAGGCTTTCCTTTATCCCGCGTCTTCGCCTCTGGCTCGTGGACCAGAGACACAAGCCCAATATGGCTCAAAAGGAGGGATGACTAGATATATAAGGAGCGAGTAGTAGAGTACCAGAGACGGTACATACTAATGGAAGTCCGATTGCCGATTTCATTGCGGATTCTGGTATTGCTGATTCTAATTATTTGCAAATGAAAACTGGTCTATGAAATAACACTCAAACAAGCAGTTGGAAATAATATATCAGAACAGAAACATAAGAGACGAAAGACTCGAAAACACAAAAAAGACAAAAAGAAAACGAGAAGCGATTCGTGTCTACCAGTTGGCATCCCTCATGACGCGCTTTCCGCTGGCATAGTCTGCAGCCTTGTCGGTACCTAGGAAGCGGGACTTGAGCGCCCAGATCACGAGGCTAAACAACTTCCACGAGCCGACCTGGCCCGTTCCGCCGGCGGGACCAGTGGACACGGCCACGATAAGGGTGTCGTCCCCCTTGTACTCTTTGAGCGCGGTCGTGTCAGCGGCAGCATCGCCGTTTTGCTTGGCGCCGCGGGCGACGGCCCAGTTCTTGAGGTAGATCTGCAACGAGGGCGCCAGCACGGTAATCTGGTCGTTGGCGTTCTTGAGCGAGGGGAACTGCAGGTTGGAGGCGTCGCCGGCGACAAAGATGTTGTCGTAGCCCTCGACCTGCAGGGTCGCGCGCGTGAGCACGCGGCCGCGGTTCTTCTCGGTGGCGTCGAGCAGCTTGGCGGGCAGGTACTTGGTGTTGAAGGAGGTGCCAAAGGCGGGGATGTAGACGTCGGTGGTCAGCGACGTCGACGTGCCGTCCTTGCTCGTGAGGCGCAGCACGGTCTGGCTGCCCTCGCCGGCGGCCGGCGTGGCCACGCTGACCTTGGTGTTGACGATGATGTGCACGCCGAGCGTCTTGAGGCGGTTGGTGGCGATCTGGCGCACGCTGTCCTTGGTCCCGTACACACCGAGCGGCGCGGGCTCGTTGATGACAAAGACAATCTCCTTCTTCTTGTCCTTGGGGGCGTTCGCACCATAGACGGCAGCCAGCTCGCCGACAACCTCGACGCCCGTCATGCCGCCGCCGGCCACGACAATGTGCGAGGCTGTGCGGATGCGGGCGCGGTAGTCGGCCAGCGCGGCCTTGGTCTCGGAGACGCCGCCGTTGGGCACGACCTTGAAGGGGGTGCCGTCGGTGATGTCGGTGCCTGTGGCAATGAGGGCGGTGTCGTAGTGGATGGTCTGGACGGTGCCGCCGGTGTTGAGGGCGACCTCAATGGTCTGGCGGTCGGGATCGAGGCTGGTGGCGCGGCCAACGACCTGCTCGACGCGCTTGACCGAACCTGTGTTGTACTTGGCAAAAGAAGGAGCGAGCGGGAAGAACAGCTTGTCGTCGCCGAAGCCTGGGTTGCCCTTGGGGTTGGGGGCGGCAGAGGAGTCGGAGGGAACGAAGCCGCGAGGCGAGGCGACGTTCCAGAACATCTCCTCGTTGGGGGCGACCAGAATGACGCGAAGGTTGACGACGCTGGCCGGAGTGTGCTTGGCCAGGTGGTGGGCCATGGGAACGCCGACATAGCCAGCACCAATGACGACCACGGTGTGGTCGGGGCCAGTCGAAGCGGTCATTTTGGCCGTCGAGTTTGAGGGGAACGATCTGAGACGGAGAAGAAGAGGTGTGGCGAGAACGAAGAGGCCGGGAAGCAGGTAGTAGTATGGGTTGGAGGGGATGTTGTCAAGCATTGTCAGCGAGGGAAGACAAGCAGATTATATATAAAAGAGCAGTGGACAGGAGGGTATATGAGAGAGCAGAGAATGAAACGAAGAGCTGGACATTGGATATATATACAAAACGAGAGTTGCCCCGGTTGTCGGGGAGAGAGACGAAAACCGGAGAGAAAGAGGAAACGAGGACAGAGGGGACAAAAAGAAAAACTTCAAGGGGCGGGCAAACTCCTGTAGCCCCTGAGGCTAGACGACGAGATGTGTTTGTTCCCGGCCATGAAGGGCAAGGGCTACCTCCAAGGAGGTCAAGTGCCTGCAATGATTTTGCCTGCCAGACACCAGAAGAAGTAACTTGCTTGGCTAGTCTGTCGGCCCCTTCTAGCGATTGATGGCGCGCGGGCGGCAGTTCTAGCTTGGATGTGCTCCGCCCGAGCGGCCGGACGACAGTGCCTGATGGTGATCGACCAACGCGAGGGACGGCACGGCATGGGGGACGGCATGGGCTCTTGTTTATTTTGCGCAGCCATGCTGGGAGGTGTGTTCAGCCAAGATGTTGTAAGCAAGAAGCTTATGGACGAGACATACAATGTGGACGTGGCTTCAGTCTACGACGACGGTGTAGTCAGGGAAGGCGCCGCGGAAGAAGCCTCTAGTATGATGGAGACTGATGCTCGGTTGTACTTTCCGTGCATATTGTTATGCATCACGGCGGCTAGCCGTTCAGCGCCGTGTTGAAGGGTTGTTCTTTCCTATCATGGCAAGACGCACTGGGGAGTGTTACTAATACCACTTGGCGTCGGAGCTGGACGGTGGGAAAGAGCGCGGCGAATACGTCAAGGGGACAATGCCGGCTGTTTACTATTGCGAGTAGGCGTAACATCCGTGACGCCTGTCGTGGACGAAAAGGCGTCCGGTGGGCAAGTCGCAAAGATACGAGGCAGAGTGCAAGACATTGTACGAATTGTTGCAGATGCTTACGTATTCGCTTGCTGCTCGTCGTGTTTTCCTCGTTGTTGATGTGCCGATAAGAAAGGGCTGAGATGGCAAACGAGGTTGCTTTTACTGCGGACATGGATCTTGGGATTTTTAATAAATTTAATAAATCTCTGAGCATGTGCCGCCCACTCGCACAGTCTGGGTATTAACGCGCGGGATCCCAAAGCAGACTAGTGCACATCTGCTAGCGCTCCCGCCGGCTAGAGCCACGAAGTGCCGTCTTGGACGCAAACCGCGCGGTGGACCGAAAGCAGAACAAGCTTTTCGCGCCATACAGATGGACAAGGCAATTCGGCGCGTGGCTTGTGACCTTCAGGCGTTTGAATGGTGAAAGCTAGCTTTACGTATACAAAGACGACGGACGGAGCAAAGCATCCATCGGGCGGACCAAACGATTCGCAATAGAATAATAGAATTTGCAAACGACTAAAAGAACGGAATGGAAATGAAACGGACAAAAACAGAAGAAGTGAAATAAAACGAGAGCGGCAGTGGCAACAAGATTGGTTTCACAGACTCTGGGTCCGACCATCGCAAAGGCCCTTCAATTTTACAAAGCAATGAAAAGTGCAACCGCGCCGGCCAGGACAGTAACCGGGCCGGCGACTGCTGACAGAGATGCTGCCCCGTTCGCCTTGACCACATTGTTGCCACTGGCCGACGACGCCGCGCTGCCACTGTTGCTGTCGCCGTCGGTAGTGGAGGTGGTCGACGATGAGGAGACCGATGATGGCGAGTTGTTGTCTGTCGAGGACACAGAGCCCTGCTGTTGCTGACCGTTGCCGTTACCGTTGCTGTTGCTGTTGCCATTGCTGTTGCCATTGCTGTTGCCATTGCTGTTGCCGTTGCCGTTTCCATTTTCTGTGCCATTGCCGCTGGCAGCCTGCACGGGACCAGGGTTTGTCACGTTGAAAAAATTGGCCGCCACCAGCTTGTTCGTCAGACCGGCCTGCTGCAACACCTGCTGCAGGTTGAAGCCCTGGCGTGTCTGGGCCGCCGTCATCAGCGTCTGCATCGCCGTCGACTGCGCCGACAGTCCGCTCGTGTCGACCAAGAACTGCGCATACGTGTGGCTGAGCGGCAGACGCGCCGGCGGGTTGGGGCTGATGTAAGGCGCGGCGGGAGCCTGGCTGGTGGCGTTGCGAAGCAAGAAGGCCGTCTGGATGGCATTGCCGGAGGCACCACCGCCGTTGTTGCTCGCGCTGGCGTCTGCACCGCTGTTTGTGCTGCCCACGACGCGCGAGGCCTGGGGCGACAGCGCCAGGTCCGTCTGCATCCAGTGGAGCAGGGTCGAGGTCTGACCGGGGGTGTTGGTCGGAATGTCCAAGTCAATCATGATTACCGTGAACGAGTTTCCCGTGAGGCGTCGCGTGGTGCCGAGCTTGGTCGGCTGGTTTGCGACGACTGAATCACAGCGTGTTAGTCACTTTGTTGTACGTACGGCCGACTTCCGCACAAAAGCGGGCACTTACGGTTTTTGGCAACGACCTGGCCGTTGATCAGCGTGTTGCCGAAATCCACCACGAGGTCAGCAACCACGGCTGGCTGGAAGCCCGGTGGCGTTGAAGCAGACACGACAGAAATGGCCGCAGCCAGCAGAGCAATCGAGGAGACCATGATTGTTGGAAAAGAAGGTGACAAAAAAAATACAGAAAAAAAAAAGAACAAGATAAGGGTCTAAAATTAAAAGAGAGTACAAGGGAATGCGGCACAGCCGACGAGTAGCGAGACCAGCAAGCTGTAAAGAATCGAAGGGGTGACAAGAAATGGACAATTTTTTTTATTTTAGAAAATGAGTGTCACGATGCTGTGGACATAACCGATCAATCGCGAAAAAGAACGGTAGAACTGGAGACAGCAGACACCCAGACATAGGCAGGCCACATACTAATATGCGAAGAAAGACAGTACATGTGTGCGGAATCGAAAATCCTCCGACAGCATCAACGGCCAATTTTCTTCCCATCATTGTCGTTCAGGGGTGCAATGTCCTCACGGCTTCCGGCAAGCAGTCGTCATCGTAACCGATGCAGAGTGAGGGAATCAATCAACTAGAAACAGGCGCATGGCAGGAGCTATGGATCCTCGTCGATGAAACGCTGTGAGGCTGGAGATGCGAAGTCCTCTTGACGGCAGTGGACATGGTGCTTGTGGCTGAAAATTCCAACTCTGATACGCCGCCAAGGCTCGAGGTAGAAAGCGTGATAATGAGAAGAGCGGTATGTCGTCGTCGGAGAATTCTGTTTCGGAAAGAAAAAGGAAGATCAAGGATGAACTGTGTGTGAGAGAGAGAGACCCATCCAGGGCACGTCAGCGTCGCGGAAAACGGCAAACTTAAAAGGTAAATGATAAATGATAAATGGCAAAAGGCAAAAGGCAAATGGCAAATGGCAAATGATGAGGCACAGACAGGTGCTGCTGTGGCATGTGTAGGATGCTGGTGGTGTGGGATTCTCTGAGAGAAGATACGTCGTAACCGCCAACAATATTGAAAGTGAAAAGACCGGTCGACGAATTGTCAAATGACCTTCCTCCTGTTCTAACATGCCTGATAACCGACATTCATCCCTTATCTCTGCTCATCAATGCAAAGCATATCCAAATACTGCATCCATTCTATGTCCACTGAGAGGCTGTTTCCAGGCCGGCAAGACGTTAGCAGAACAGTCCGAATCGTCAGTAGTCCTGAACCTGCCGAGAGAACAGGTTAACCATCACCACCAAGACAAACACTGGAAAAAGCATATGTATTTATATTTTCTCCATAAAATTATGAAGAAAAGGTGGCTACCTTACGACGACAATTACTATTGATATTGCTGTCACACTCGCCTTAGAACCTGTCATAGTTGACATTAACCGGCACAGCCTGGTTCCTTTGGCCACCGTCACGAAAGACTCGTCCTGCTCTTCTATCTGGAATTGACAGTAATTATTCAATGGAGTAATAGAGAGGCTGCCCTGCAATTAGGCGGCGCATGCGGCGCCAGCAAGTCCTTGGAAACGGAAACTGAAATGACGAATGAAGAGCATTCGACAGACCCCAAGAGACGGGCTCCAACCTTGGGAGCCGATGAACTTTGAGCAGCAATATCAACCCGCACTCCCAGCAAAACTACCCGAGGAACTGGATACGCGTTCAGGTCTTGTGATGCTGCTCTTCCTTTGTGGATAAATGGCAAAAGCGACTCGATTCCACAAGGTAACTAACTCACTGTGAGCATTAACTACAGTGTTTTCCTGTGGCATCGGGCAGAAGAACGGTTACCAGTTGTGTAGAGCAAAATACAAAATGCTTACCATCGTTTTGGACAATGTTTCCCGGTTCGAGTTGCGCTACACTGTCTTGAAGTTCCACTTCCGTCAGCCGTGTATCCATCCATATTACTCTCTCCAGTGATGCCACGCCACCTCTTGCCGAGAAAGATGGCCCGCTCGAAGGATCAGTGTGCAATATCGACACCTGTACTCTGTAATGAGAAAAAGGTAGGAAGGACGAGGGGGGAAATGGCTCAATTCGTGCATGGTACACGTAACACGCGGTCAGTTGGGTGGCCTCAAGAAGGTCTCTGGATCTGCTTGGCACCCACAGCCTTGCACAAAAACGTTTTGCGAAGAAACTGTCGGACGCTCTCTACTTTAAGATCAAGTATTCTCCCGCCCGGATGCCTTGATTTTCTCTCTTTGGACACAAGCAAGCCGTTCGTCACAAAAGTGTCCCTGGAATCCATTGTTGCAGCTGCCTCAGCTCGCTTTTCTCATAATGGTCGTCATCCAAGCGTCTCCTGTGTGTCGACCAACGCCACCAAGGCTTTTCCTCATGCTTCTGCTCTGCGGTGATTGCTGACGTGTTCTCTATTTAGGCGGCATGGCCAACTTTGCACAGCGGCAGCCGTGGCAACGGTACCGCAGTTAATGGTAACGGGACTATCGTTGCAACAAATTCGACGTCGATAGGCGGCAATATTACGACCACGCCGCCAACGCCCCCGCCTTCTCTCGCCCCGACTGTATCCCAAAACTCGTCGTCTGGTGGCTCGTCTTCGCCCATCCGCAGCAAACTCGGAGCCGGTCTTGGTGCTGCGCTTGGCTTCGCGGCTGTGGTGATCCTGCTGGTGCTGTGGCACGTTTTCAAAGCACAGCGTAACAGACGACAACAACGATGGCTGCAGGACGAATACGCAACCAGAATAGAGGACCGTGGAAGTGGCTATCAAGGAGAGATTGTAGAAAGCCAACAGCAAAGGTCGACTGGACAACTGTATCAACAACACCAAAAACCGATGGGCGCCACATTGGCATCTTCGAATTCGCTCGCAGGGGCTTTCTTGCCAGATCCCCAAATCGGAAAAGAAAAGGAGCAGACGACGACGATAACAGTGCTAATGCCGAGGGATGCGCCCAAAGCGTGCGATACACCAATCAATGGCCGAACCGAAACAAGCTCTCCGAAGCGTGGCAGGGGCCGTAGGCGGGGAGAACGCCTACTGGGAGGCAGCCGATGGGAACGACGAGACGGGCGTCAGCGAATGGGCATGTCGACTGAAGAGGATAGAGCCCCGACCGCTGCAGACCGGCCCAGGTTCTCGTTTGAAGGTGTGGCACAAAGTGAAGACTCAATAGAGACATTGTCACAAATAAGGCTTTTGTCGCTGGCGGATGTAGGTAGAGAGGATCCGGGCGGGCAGGGCGCAGAGCGTGTACCAGAGAAAGTGAGAGAGAAAGACATGTTTATGGGATGAACCATGTAAGCCCACAAAGAGAAATCCGCTACACAGAAAATTAATAAATACTTGAATAAATAAACGAAAGCTGCAGTCAAGCTGCTCTGGGTATCGATCAAAGGCACTGTCTTTGACGAGAAGTATATAAAACAAGATCGACCATGATGGTCAAGGTAGTAATGGGCGAAGAACAAAACAAAGCAGTAAGCCAAAGTAAATAAATACAAAACGTATGCAAAACCACCACGCAAAATGTATGGATTTCTTCCTCCGTAGAAACTCCCTTTCCTTGGAATAAATGTACATAAGATAAAAAACAAATAGAGAATAGTAAAAAGGAAGACGATTAGTGTAACAATAAAATACCCCAAATTAGAATTTTGAATAAGAACGCCTAGGGGATGCAATTTAGCTTTTGGAATAAAGTCCTAAGGGAAGACTTTTCTAGGCCGAGAGAAGTTGTACAGCGATTGATAAACAGGCAGTGGAGGTATCTGGTATGTCGAGGAAAGAGTACGAACGGGAAAGGAAGCGTCGAATTGGTCAGATAAACTCGACCATTTCGTCGGGGTGTAGCAGGGGAACACTGGTTGTAGGGGGTATTGGCGGCGGTACATTCGCTCTTGTGGCCGATCTGGTTTCTGGCTGCCGGGGCGGCGACCGTTGCTGCTGCTGTTGTTGCTGCGGTGGACGTGGTTGCCCCTGGGATTGCTGCTGCGATCTAGAGCTGGAGGATTGGGTCTGCCTTGTGCTTCCCTTTGCCCGCGAGGATGTACTAAGACCGCGCTTCATCATCTTGCCGAGAACTGTCACGAGCTCGCATGCATCGCTGAACATGTCGTTGTCAATACCCTCGGGGGCATCATAGACTTCGGTGATTGTGTCCTTTGCGAGTTTACGGCTACCCTCGGCATCGTGCACACATTCATACAAAAACGAAGCGTATTCTGTCTTGACGGAGAGGCGCAGCGAGTGGGAGCCCCACAAAAGGCCTTCGGCTAAGGAGATGGCATCTTTGAAATAACGGTTGGCAAGAGGAAGATAGTCGGCGGCGGGAAGCAAAAATGCTGCCGGCGGTTCGGGGCCGAAGCCCGGAGGAGGGTTGACTGGACCTCCTTCCATTGCGTGGGTGGGTTGTAAAGACGATCGAGTACTCTCCAAGTCGTCGTCGCGCGCGACGCCTTTGCCCTTGTCTGCTTGTGGTGGTGTTTGGTCGGCAGATGACGATCCTTGCAGGTCTGGTGTGTCCAGACCCATAGTCGATACTGGAGGTTGATTGTAGAATAGGACAAAAATGTGGTAAAATGAGGCGCGTAATTTGTATGCTAGAACCTTCAACTCGACGTATTTACCCACAACGGGTAGTACATACTGTTCCAGCATGACCAGCCCCTCACGTGATAGCCATATTATGTGAAAATAAAGCTCAAGGGTTTCTTGTGATTTGGAAGGCTCTCGTCGCCGCTGTTTCCGGGCCAGGACGAGTTGTTCTGATAAGCTGATGGAAAGACCCAAGATTTTGAAGAGCATTGTTGAAAGAAGTGGGTTATCATTTTGTACCGCTTTGGCCAGTTTGCCGAGATATTTTTGGTCGACTTCGGAGGACGCCATCGCGAGAATATGTGAGCAGTCGGATAGGATGGAAAAGGTGGTGAGAGACGGAGATATGTGTGACAGTCTGTAACATAAACAAGTATAATTAGATATCTTTCCAGTGAAGGCAAGAGCCACAGATTGGGAAATAGTTTGGACATACGATCAACGGGGCGTGGATGCTGTTGAAGGAGTTGTGAATTAGGAGTCGGGTTTTTGAGAGGGATGAAACTATGTGTTAGGTCGTAAACTTGAAATAAGTCGATGCATGGGTGGGCTTAATAAAAAGGACCCTAAGCAAACAGACGAGGCTTGTATTCCGCCAGTAAAGGCAGCTGTTAGTGGCTATGTACACAAGATGCGAGAGAGAGCGTAGGAAAGCCCACGTTGTCGTCTGGCGAGGCCAAAAAGGTCAATGGCGGTGCTGAATGTCAAGCGAAGGAAGAGACTTGTTTTGGTGATCCAACGCGCGCTCCTTAAGGTGGAATGGAGTCTGGAAAAGCTAAATGAAAAGTGGATTGTCCAAATAATAGGTTGTGCAGTCGTTTGAGAGCCAATTGAAGATCGGGGGGATCAATAAAAACAAGGCAGGTCGTGGCCGATACACCGAGCCTGTGACGCCGGATTACAACGGCGGAGTCCGAAGAAAGAAGAAAATCAATAGTCGACAGAAAGCTGCGTTGAAGAGAACGAAATGTGAGCAGCGAGAGGTAATCAAGGATGGAATCGCGTGACGCAAAAGAGGTCTTGCAAAGTAAACAAAACCTTCCTCTCCTTGTGTGGGAGTTATGAAAGGGGCTCGTAAACGGTAGGTGGTAAGCACAAAAATAGAGAATTAATGCAGGAGGAAAAGACGGCCTGACAACAAAGGGCGCTATTGCAGTGCCAAATCAGCCTTGGACAAGCCACAGGTGATCGAGAACTCGTTCGACGTATTGCGATGCGACGCCTTTCGACAATTTTCGTGTTGTTTTCGTTTCGTGTTTGAAAAAGCAGCGTCCCTTTGTGCTGCATGAGCGAGCGTGATGGGTGCTGCCGACCCTGTGTTTGCCCAATCGACAGTTTCCTTCCTGCTTCAACTTGTTGTGGAAAGCACCTGGTTTCCCTTGCAATGATTTTCCCCTGTTTCCCACGGATTTGCCATGCAGACGATGCAGACGATGCAAACGAAACAGCCACACTCTTTTGCAGTAATATAGTGCAGTGCTGTGCAGCACAAGGTGCAGAAGTAGCGGTGGAGACCAAAGCAGGCACAAAATGCGGCAAGACGGATCCTGCAGGAAAAAAAAAAGCAAACCTCAGAACTTGGCCAGCGTGGTGGGAGATGTGCAGCAAACTTCTGGCCAATGAAAATAACAAAAGGCTGGGGCACAGAAAAAGAATGAACAAGTTGGACTAAAGAAACCAGAAAACGTGCCAAAGGTTTTTGTAGGAAGAAGTGAAGACGTCTGGGAGGTCATCGGACGGGAAGGACAGACAGTAATAAGATAAACAGCAGAGAAAGAAGCCAGCCAAAAAAAAAAAAACGAGTGAGCAGGCTGGTGCCAAATGTCAAGCAGTGCGGATAGCAAACGAATGTCGTTAACCAGGAGAAATTGAAGAGCGAGCACAAGAAAAGAGAGAAACGGGAGAAACAAGAGGGAAAGAACTAAGTCTCCGGTGGCACTCCCCTCCACCTCCACCACCTTGGCCCGCTGCACGATGCGTTGTCAAAAGCTCACTCCGCACATACACGCACACTTTTAAGGGCTGAATGGATCGATTGCCGGACTAAAAAAAGGTTGAACGCAAAGAGTAGCAGTGGGCACCGGCCGTCTTCGAGGCCAAGGTCTGAAAGCACACTGGTTGGTTGCGAATTTGCGGCTCTGCCTGGAGACTATTCTGCGTTCCTGCTGCGAATTCGCGAGGGAATTTCTCGATATCAACACCAAGATTTGGCGGGACCTGTCAACGGAACCCGATGGGCTGGTGGTGTTGAGACCGCGGTGGCTTGAGCCGCTGATTGGGGTGACGGGGTTGGATGGAGTAGTTGTTCCTCGTGTCGGTGAGACATGCACGTGTGGAAAGGGCGAACGGCGAAAATACAAAAAGAACAGATAACCACTGGCAGCTAGTAAACAAGAGGCCAGCGTTCTTGAGAGAGCGGGGAGAAACAGAAAGAATAGACCGTGGCACTGGCAGACAGGGTACGAAACGGGGAAAATGGGCGACAATGACGAGGGCCGATGAGGATGATGCGATTATTGGATGGGAGACAGCAAACTGAATTCGTGTGCGCAACGCGATTGTGGGCCGCTGTCAGGGTGCGAGCTGGCCTGTGTCGTTGACCTCTGTTCCCTTGTTGGCCCTTTGCATGCGACCTGCTGACGCCCCTGAATTTTGTCGTGTTAAAACGAGTTTGTGGGCTTCCGTGTGATGCAGCAAGCACCGATGCAGCCGATGCGCCTTGCAGTAGCTGCTGTGTGCGCGACCTACGTTGGATAGTGGGCCTTGGCGGTACGTTTGGTTTGAATGCAACAGACAGCTAGCTGCAGGGTCAGGATTTCCTGGCCCAGAACTGGGTCAAGCAATCGCAAAAGGAGGTGCAGGTGCAGGAGCTCAAAGGCGCCTCTCTCAATTGTCGCAGGTACACGAGCAGAGCGCGTGATGACGGTGTACTGAAATGATGTAGCAAGTTCGGAGGATGTCGTCGGATGGGTTGACAAGCCGGGCGGTTCGCCGTTCGTTGCCGATGTAAGCTTTCTGGGATCGACCAGTATCACTCAAAGCATCACTGTTGCTTGTAAGTAGCAAAAGCTAGGCTGTGCAATAACGGCTCGGACCTTTGGAATGTGAGTGACAGGCGGACGAAAAGCAGATCTAACGGTCTACGCAGGAGACGAATGCGGGTCGCCCTTGGAAGAGGAGAGGGGAAAACGGAGGCCCCAAAGGTGGCAAAGAACGAAAGGGGATAAAAAGGAAGAGAATGGCGCTGATTGGAAAACAAGCGGTGGGCGAGCGAGCGAGACAGAATGCGTCGCGTTGGGGGTGAAACGAGAGGCAGTCGGAATGAGATGCGACGAAATAAAGATTGGCGGTGCGGGCAAGCTGTAGGAGACGTGCAGGCCGATAGAGATGGAATTGCGAGAGAATATACGACAGCAAACAAAACTGACGTTTGAGAAAGGCGCAGCGAGTGAGAGCGCGATCATGAAATGCAAAGAGGAAGAAGGGCGAGAGGAATCAACAAATTGGAAACGCGTAAATGAGGGAAAAAGAGGAGAAAGGGTGGGAGCGGCCAGGCCTGACCGAAGACCGGGGATGGGCCAGGGCCAAAGGAAGGAGATGTCTGGGAGCTTCCCTGAAGTTATTACGGAGAATGGAGAAGCTAAGCTGGCTCGGGAAAGAGCAGGGGTTTGGGCTCAGCGAATTTGGCACTCCATTGGCAAAGGAAGGCAGGAGCAACCCAGATTCATGGAACTAGACAGGGAAGGAAAGAGAGGTATGAATGAAAACATTGACAACGGTTGGTAAGAAGAGGTTGAAAGCTGACTGGAGCTGAAGAGAGGCGCGCTTTGCATGATGCGACGCGCTTAGTTGTAGTTGTAACATGCTCCCAGGCTTTCTTACGACACGACGTAATACTCCGTACAGAATATCTATGTTTATTTTCCCTGTCTTACCCCGTCTGTGTTTCCTCCCTGAGACAATGAGGAAGGCGCCAAGATAACGAGATGGGCTGGAAGTGAGCACAAGGGGAAGGAGCGCACAAAGGAAGAAAAGAAGCTTCAAGGAAGGAAGGAAACGACTAATTCGTAGTTTCTCTGGTAAATGGAAGGCACGACATTTTCAAATATCATTTTGAATATCATTTGCAAGACCAATTGAGATCGCCTGAAACTGGAGGAAATTTGACGGCACAGGGTCGCTTCGTCCGCTCCACGTCGTTTGGGCGAGGCTGAAAGCTGCTCTGCGCCAAGCATTCCCATACAGCCACGAGGGATTAATCTGTGGAAACGCGCCGTTCGGCGAAAGGATAAAAAAAGCGCCGGACAGCAATGACCCTCTGGTTTCTGTCTCGTTTGGTTACGGAGTAATTACGACATACATCGTACAAGTTGAGGAGGAATTCAGAAGTCGCCCGGTCTGGTGTCCCCTTACCTTTTGCCGGCAGGTGTCTTAGACAATGGGGCGAGTACGTGCATTCCAGTGTTGTGACACGAGGTAAACAACTTCCTGGCTTCTGATTGGCTTGTTTTCATTCAAGTTCCGAGATGCATGTGAGTTGCACCTTCTATTCAGTTTCCCATTTGCGTCCTCCCTGCCTCCGTTTCCCCTGCTCTGTCCTTCCCGCTTTCTGCATTCTGTCATGCCTCACTTGTGCGCCTTCCGATACGTTTCGCCTTGGGCCTGCTTAGAAGTTTGGCATGGCCGTGGGCCGTGGCGAGACCTGGTCGTCAGCTGCAATCATGCTCCCAGCCTCCTCATTTTTTTTGAGCGTCGTAATTGGCACCAGCATCCACCAGCACCCACCAGCACACACCAGCACACGCACGAACCTGATGTTTCCTGGCCTGGCCTGGTTTGGCGTTGACACGCTGTCGCCTTAGGCCATGGCAAAGACGTCGCCTGACAAGCTTATTGGTGTGGGCAAGAGCGGACCAAGAGGACGCACTTGGCCGCTGACGCTGCAGCCGCCCTCTTAGTCTCTCGTGGTCAAATGTGATTGCTGGCTGTCGTCAAATCAATCTATTCCATGACCTGTGCCATGTATCTTGGCTCTATCTAGCGTTTGGTCTCGTTCCTTTCCTGCCCATTGTACTCGACGCATCGCAACGCGAAAGGCAGCGTCGTCTCGGCCTCGTTGTCGTCGGCGAAGTTCTGCATATTGGGCAGGACCATTTCGGGGAGCAAACATCCTCAATGGCCGTGGAGTTAACAATGCCAGCCAGGCTCAACTGGTGCTCGCCGCATACGTGGTTTTGCCCGGCACCACCTACAGTACTTTCGATGGAGCTGCCGACCTCGAGACGAATGGGTGGAGGCCGGTAACAAGACCAAGCAAGCCTCATCGTACGCTACGCCGACCTGGGCAACGACAAGCGTGCTGACAGTCATGAAACCTCCGCCCAGGTAAGCGCGATGATACTGAGACGGGGGAATGGGCGAGGACAATGATGACCAGCAGCGTGGCCAGTTGGTGGGTTCATGATGGAGAGCATGCCAACACCCCAGCGCCTGTGATCTTGTTCAACGAGCCAATGCTTATAAGATTCCTGCCTAGACTGGGGTTTTATCACACGATCAGTGAACATGACACGACTTTGGTCGTTGCATTGCTTATCATTCCGCGACTATTCCTACCACCTCCTTCTCGCAAGCCGCTCTTCTGTGAATTGAGAATTGAGCATTTGGGATGAGTGACGAGAACAAGCGTTCATAAGGCTGGCAATAAGGCTATTATTGCACGTTCTATGGAAGGACAGGAAAGATACATGAAGAAGGGGTGGGAGGGAGCTGACACGGTGGAGAGCGAAAGTGCAAAACACCAAGCACACGCACGTAGGGGGAAAACATGAAGAAAAGGTGAGGACTGCAAAGCGTCTCACTTTGAACGCAAATTAGGAACGCAAGTATTCACACTCACACCTGACATTAACTCTTATAACAAGAACATACAAATGAACAGCGAGCACATCGACCTCACCAATCAGCCTCAGATCTCGACACGCACTTGATCCCGCACCTTGGCAAAGTTGTCCAGGATCTGCTGTGCCCGCGCCGGCGTCCGCGGCTTGATGCTGATCTGGAACGGACTCGGCTCGAGAATGACGTGCGAGTTGGTCGCCTGCGTGTCGATGGGAATCAGGTCGCCCGTCAGTGGGCAGCGCTTTTCCGCCAGCGTCAGGCCCCACAGCATCGCCGCGCCGCACACAAACATTTCGTCGTCGACAATGTCCTTGCCCAGACATGTGCGCCGACCCCAGCCAAATGTGTGCATTGACGCGCCGTCCCGGAAGTTGGGGTATTTGGTCAGCGGCTCCATGTACGTGGGCCAGCCGGGCTCGAGGTACCGCTCCGGGTGGTAGTTTTCCGGGTCCGGGTAGCGCTCTGGTACGCGGTTGATGGACCACTCGCACGCCAGCACAATTGTGTTCTTCTTGATCTCGACACCGCGGAACACGTCGTCGCGCTCGGCTTGGTGCGGCACCCCCAGCGGCACGCCCGACCGCCAGCGCAGCGTCTCCTTGAGGCATGCACGCACCGTCGGCAGCGCCGCAAAGTCGTCCATGGTGGGCATGCGGTCGCCGCACACACGGTCGATCTCGGCCTGCGCCTTCTGCTGCCACTCTGGGTGCAGCGCCATGGCCATCTGGAAGAACTTGAGCGGGCCCGAGATGGTCACGACACCCACGAGGTTCATGAACCCGATCATGCAGCTCGCAAAAGTCTCCTGGTCTTCGCCCTGCTCTAGAGTCACGTTGCCGTCCTTCTGCAGCTGATTAAAGTAGCGGTAGCCCCAGGTGTCCTTGGGCAGATCGTCCTTGAGATAGCGCGCCTTAGCCAGCTGGAAGTTGTGGCGCCACCAGGCGCGTTGCTCGGCCTCGCGCTTGACCTCGAATTTCTTCCATGGGTTGACAAAGAACGGAATGTGCCACAGCGGCGTCACTGTGTTGGTAATGGGGCCGGACACGCTCATGCAGTGCAACGTGGTGTCGGCACTCTCGCCGTTAAGGCGGCCCTGTGTGGCGTCGTCCCAGGCCAAGCGTGACATGACACGACCGCAGAACTCGCGCGTGTAGTCCAGGAAGCGTGCTGGGTCCAGCACAAGCATGGCCACGAACCGCGTCGACTCGGCCTCGAGATGGCCGTAAAAGTTGTGCTTGTGCGCCTCGGCCATGGCTGCGTGCACCCACTTGCGCTGGCGCTGCCATGTGTCGTGGCGGTCCATGAGCGCCACGTAGGCCGGCCCCTCCTTGTGGCGGAAGAGCGACCGGATCTGTGGCCGGCCTGAGTAGATGTGGCCACGCTTTACCAGCAGCTCTTCGGCAATCTTCTCGTCCGAGATAATGACAAATGTCTGGTCGACGGCACGCGTCTGATATATGGGCCCATGCTCGTCGGCCCACTCCTTGAACTTGAGCCACATCGAGAAGCGAGGAAGGTCGTGGATGCGTCCGACAAACGGATACTGCTTAGGGCCGGGAAACTTGGCCTTGCCGTCACCACCACCACCACCCCTCGTCTTGCTCCATGACAGGATGTGTTGGATGGCCGAGTAAATGAGACTGGGCACAGCCAGATACAGGAGAATGAGGGTGACCGTCTCCATAGTGGAAGTCGTGTAAGATGTCGAGTGAAATTGGATGTCGTTCGCGAGCCTCCTCAAAGGTTGAACCGTTCCAAGGGTGGCAAAAAAAAAAAAAAAAAAGATATGCCCACTGAAGAAAGGGCGATCTAGTACAAGCGTACTAATACAATAGAACAGCGGTACAGACACTCTGAAAGATCGAATGAATAAAAGAACAACACGAGGAAAGGGCGAGAAGAGACAAGGACGGGTTATCCACGGAATGGGGACCTGACCCTGTTCTACTTATACAAAAGCATGTATTGTCTGCCGGTGCAATCGACAGGGGGGACGAGACGGCCGAAGAGTGCGAGAGGTCAATATTGACCACCCGAGAAAGAAAGCACACCTACGAACCACACGCAGCACACGCAGCACACGCAGCACACGCAGCACACGCAGCACACGCAGCACACGCACCGAATGCACCGTCATCATTATGTGGAGAACATAAAAAAGCAATATACCAGGGGCACCTCTCCGACACAAATCAGATGGTGGCCAGTTCCGCTTCCAAAAGTGTCAAAGTTGCTTTCTTTTTCTTTTAGGGGTTGGGCCGAGTGGGAGGGTGTTAATATCGGGCTCTCCCCTACGGACATGAGAAGGAAGATGAAGACGGGGAGAGTGGTGATGTGGCGACGAACGCGAGGCTCCAACCATGTTGTTACAACGGGGTAAGAATGTCGTGAAGAAGGAAGAAATAAAAAAAAGGCCGCCCCGGACTGGGATTGGACTGTCTCTATAATATAACCCTTACCTACCTTTGACGAAGCCTTGATAAAGTAGATGCAGTACGGCATCATCAACAGGATCGCAAGACGTGCAGCCTTATTGTCAACCCACAATACACGACGGTGGTGATTTCAATACTTTGCGTACAAGGTCTGTTGGAGTCCGCACTGCGTGGAAATATCTGGCGCTGTGATGCTATCCTGGTTTGCGGTAAGGAGGACGGTGGGAAGTGTCGATGGCTGTCCGGAAAGAGAAATGGAGGGAGACGGACGGGAAATAATCAGAGGGGAAACCCAATAGAGCCAGTCTAATTAACCAGACACGCCGATAAAACAAAACCGACTACTAATATGCCATTCTCTCTCATCCCAGCGCCATGCGAGCACCCCCACATATGAACTACGGGGTAATAATAGGAGCAGCGAGCCGGCTTAGAAATGGCAGACAAGACAGAATAGTGCACTTATTTTGGCACTTCTCGCCGTCAGCACACCGCACGGACATCAGGCTCGCAAGATGGACAAAAAAGTAAGAAGAGCCCTTGACAAACACGACGCGTCGGCCATTACCCATTCAGCCTGTTCCCCCTTACTTTTGGAGGTGGGCGCAGTTTATGGCGAAGAGTACATCTCCGTCTCTTATGCGCTCATAGTTCACTTTTTATTTTTATTTTCTCTACGCGGTGTCCGAGTTTTCTTGGGGTCTTTTGATGTGCGTCGTTGCTCGTGTTCTGAAGTGTTGTCGTGTCTGTTGGCCGTAACTTTGGTCCAACATGCGTGATTGTATTGCCGGAATTGTACATGTTGGGGGCCAAGCTGACTTTGGCGAGGGAATGGCAAGTGACGTGAAAGGGACACAAATATTGGATTGCAATGGGTTTTACTTGCGAAAGAGAAAGTCCGCATGGATTCAAGATGACCGAGGATGAATACGAGATCGGCAGTCAAGGGGAAGTAATTTATCTGTATCGCGTCGCCGTTGTAAAATGTAATGCGGTGTATCCGTGAGGCACGATCTGTCCTGCAGATGTGCTCATCTGTGTGCTACAATTGAACAAGAGACGAATAAATAAAAAGGGTCGGTTCAAAAGAATCACGATAACAGCACAACACCACGTGTCTGACGTGTGACGACTTCGCCGGGGCCATCTTTTGTTCTGATTGCCATGCTCACCCAGCTCCTAATCCTAGTCGTGACCTCGCCGTATTTCGTACAACGACTGTTCAATGTCATTGACATGTTCTAGCAACTCCACGGCGCGTAAGCAGGCTCCCATTTTATTTTTGTTAATTCTTGCTCGCCATTCTTGCTCGCCATTCTTGCTGCTGGATATTTGATCATCAGTCGGTTTTGTCAATTTACCACCCAAATGACGGGGCGCCATTTTAGATTGTACTTCCTGCGGCGGAAACGTGGACCTGGGATTCTTCGCCTGTCAGCTCGCCTTTTATGACATTTATGCTCGTTTACCGTTGGGGATGTCCGGTGGGCGAAGCGGCTTAAAAGTAGCAGGTGTGGTGTTAGAAGAAACTCAGTCTACGGCGGCAAAATGAAGATGCACACGTTCGGTCTTTGAGGATGTGGCAGCATATTATCTGTCGATTTTCAAGGTATGTGGGAAGAGAAATTGAGAATTGCAAAAGATCTTAACTTTTATTTTTGCAATGTTTTTTTTGTTAAAATAAAAATCTGTAAATAACAACACTTATTCCTTATCTCACATTATCACCATGTTTTTCTCCTCTTTCTCTTCCTTTCCCCCATTCGAAAATAGCATACAAACAGGTAAGGCCTAAAAATCAACTAAGAACACCATATCCTGGAAAACATTCGGTTATCAAAACACTGATGTGCAGGGGGCACCAGGACAAAAACGAGTAAGAAAATTCTGGCTAAAAGGACAATCGATATCACCGAGGCCGAATTACATGGCAACATCAAGGAAACCGGATCACAAGTAGATTGTGGGGTCGGCAGAGAAAGAGGAAAGTAAACAGATACCGGACGCGAGGACAGCGTCGTGCACGTGGTCTGAGGCTCTTCTCGTCGGCCGGGAATTGACAAAATGAAAAATAAAAATAATTATTGCTAGTCTATGAATTTCGCTTTACTGAAAATAAGACGCATTTGGAAAACATGGCACGTATGTACACAATGAAAATATATGACGAAACAAGGACACTGACCAATTGGCCGCAACGTATTGCATATTGTTACACTGCATGCCCTCACCATGTGCCTCCACTTGTTTCTAGACATCGCCTACCCAAACCGGATGCCCGATGACGGGTCCCATGTGCCATGTGGGTTGGTCTGTGCCGAGTTCCCACCGGGTGCGCCGCCCCCCGGCCGTGGCTGTGGTGTCCCGTCCGGCGCCGGCGAGTTGCCGAAACGGATGCCCATTCCAGCGCTCCACATCTGATGCTGTTGCGGCTGTGGTTGTTGAGGCGGCGGTGGCGGCGGTTGTTGCTGTGATAGTGGCTGCTGATGTGAGACAGGTATGGGCGTTGGTTGCTGGGGTGGGCCACCAGCCCAAGATTGGATGGCGGGTGGTTGTTGTTGAGGCGGTGGAGAGAAGTGCTGGTGCTGGTGCTGTTGTTGCTGCTGCGGCTGCTGCTGCTGATGACCCAATGAGAGCGACGACAGCACCGGCATCGACAGTTCCTCTTCAATGGCCTGTGCCTCGCTGCGTCGTTGCTGTACCCATGCACGGCTCTGGTCCCGGAACGCGCCCACAATCTTGCTCAGGTCGTTGTAGAACTTGCGACCTACCTCGACGTTGCGCACCACCTCCTTGTACTTGTAGTGCGCATTGTCCAGCTTTTGCAGAGCCGCCTCGCGTTCGTGCCCGCCCCCACCAGCGCTGCCCGTCGAGGCCTTCTTTTGCGACACGAACTCGCGGTTTGCCCGCGCCACATCGTCGAGCGCCTTTTCCTGGTCGGCGCGCTCGCGCTGCACAAGAGCGTCCTGGTCATCGTCGTAGAGCTCGCGCAGGCGCGTGGCAAAGAAGCCGTCAAAGTGGGACGCGACAATTGGCGTGTTGGGATACGCGCGCTCCAGCCGTGCCGTTTCTTTGAGAATATCGGGCTTGACGTCGTCGGCGCGCGCCTTTTCGCGCAGGGCCTCGACGCGTTTGCGCCGCCGCGACTCGAGCCGCAGCACGTCGTTGTAGGCGCTGCGTAAGCGGCCGAGTGATGGTTTGACGGCCTCTGGCACTTCCATCTTGCGGCTGTTGGGCACAAAGTCCATGAGCGCCCGGTCCGGTCCCGCCAACAGGATTAGCATGTCTTCAATAGACGCAAACATGTCGCGCACCACGCCATCGCTCGACCCACTCGACGCAAAGTAGCCCTCAATCTCGTCTGCGTTCGTCCACAGCTTCTGACCTTGTGCACCGTCTGCGCGGCCCTCGGGTCGCGTCCAGCGCTCCGTGCCGTATTTGCGCCGCAACTGGGCGTCTTCATCGGCCTCAACGGCCAGAAGCGCCTTGCCCTCGTCGAAGGTGGCCCGGTCACCGGCGCGCAGTTTGTTGATGTCCTCGAAGCTACGCTTCGCCCGGTTGACCGCATCTGCGTAGCGCATCTCTTCGGCATGCTGAACTAGTGATCCAGGCAGGCCCAGCGGCCGTTCTATGGCCTGTAACGAGCCGGGCAGGTTCAGCTCCAGCAAGGTGCCGTGTAATTGTTCAGTCAGTACCTCGAGGTCGTGGATGATATTCTGGTTGATGAGTCGGTCGCGGCGTTCTTCGTATACAGACACAGCCAGGTGCACGGCGAACGGAACGAGCTTGGAAAACAGCGCCGGGCCGAACTCGGCCTGATCTCCGAGAAATTCGAATGGCTTCTCGACTTGCGGCGGGATGCGCGCTGTGGCCATGTTTGCGCGGTCTAGGATCTTGAGCTCCGATTTTGGCGGCACCACCTGCAGATATATGACGTCGTTGTCGCGCTCTGCGCGCTTCAGGTCTTCCTCAACGCGCCGCTTGAGCCCGGTTAGATCCTCAACTACTGTTTTACTCAAGTAGCCGCCCCGGTTTTCCTTGAGGCCCTCGGCCACACACAGCAAAGAGTCCTGCAGCCGCGCCACCTCTTCGCCATACTTGCGCTTATCTAGGCAATCGAGCGACGCCCGGTACTGCGCGGCCGCCGCAAAGTGGTGGTGCTTCGCGCTCACATGGTGGATCCACGACCGGCTGACGGAATCGCTCTTCATAGCCGCCTCGCCCGCCGCGTCGTACAGATCAGCGAGCCGTGCCGCCAACTTGGCAATAGTCGCGTCCTTGTAGCGCTCAGACACAGCACGCAGCCAAAAGGACTCCTGTGCTTGTGCCAGCATCAGCTGCTCGAGACAGTCGAGTGTGGCGGCGTCCATGTCCTCGGGCACCACGTTGCTGAGGTCCGGGTCGGTAATAACCGTATCGCGCAGAAACCCGAGCACGCCCGCCGCCTGCATAAAGTAGCTGGCGGCCGTCTTGAGGCTGTCAGCATCGCCGTGGCCCGTGCCCGCGGCCAGCTGGCTGTAGAGTGCCGCCAGGTTGTAGAGCACGTTGGCGCGCTCGAATTTGAGGTTGTTCTGCACGATTGGCCGATCGACGTTGTAGCCCAGCGCCGGGTACCATGTGAACTCGGCGCCCATCTCCACGGGAAACTTGCCGCCGATCCACGCCAGCTGTCCCGCGTAGGCCTGCAGCTTCTTGATGCCGCTTGGGTGGGCCTCGCGCACGTTGACGGCCTCGCGACGAAGGGTGTCAATCACGTCCATATCCTCGTGGAACGTGTCTGGGTGCTGTCCGTATTTATCGGCGACATACTGGCGGATGGCGGTCGCGAGGGAGAGGTGTGTTGATTTTCGAAAGGGGAGCGAGAGCTGATTCGTTTGGGATCTAAAGGGGGTAGAAGAGACACTGTCAGTAGTCGAAATAAAAGAACAACATGTTCAACTTGTTGGGCGTTACGCACGATGCCATGGCGGCGAGGAAACGACGCGTTGGTGTCGTCAGACGAAATTGTATGGAACGGCCCAACACGCAGTTGACAGAATGTTGACAAGAGGTATGGGCCTAATGACCTCATCGTCAACACGCTGCCATACGTTTCGAGGGGCGGCTGTCACGAGTGGGGCCAGTCGTTTGCTGACTAACATCCATGCTCGTTTTGTGAGTGGTGCACGTGACCGCTCTTCAGGAGACGACACACGATCATATCACGCAGGTTAATTTACACCAGGCGGAACATTATTGCATTCACGTTTGTATTCGAAGCAGACGCTACCACCATGCGAATCATACATCATTCAGGAGACAAATGCGATGGACCGTGGTGCTGCTCAAACCCCACAGAGCCCTTGTACGAGGCCTTCTGACAGTCCCAAAGGCATTGCTAGTTTTCCATACGGCACCCAAGCGCTCTAGGCGGCCTTACACGTCGACTCACAACCCGTGCATGCAGAGCCGGCGACACGTGTAGTGCCGTCAGGGACGACGGTCGGACCGGGCGCGACATAAGGCGAGGCCAGCTTTTGATGGATGTTGATGAGAATGCCCGGATCCGTGGCCTTGTAGGCGCCGGGGAACTTGACGGTTTCATAGTCAGCCGCAAGAGCGCGCACTGCCATCCGGCTGGCGGCCGAAGATGCCGCACCGGAGCCCGCTGAGCCAACCTGCAGCTGATAGCACGTCATGTAGAACTGGGCGCCGCTCGGCGAGCTGGCCGTGTGCAACGCGAGAGCCTCGGCACGCAGCAGGTAGTCTCCGGGGGCGAGACTGGCCGGAATGGGCACGTCCATCTTGCCACAGCACGTATTGAGGTCCTTGGTGCCCCAGTTGTCGTTATCGCCGCTTCCACCACTAGCCGCCGCCGACCAGCTGTCCTCAAAAACCTTGAACCAGTCGGAAGAGCCGTCGGCCGTGCTGGCGTCTGGAACTTTGGACATGTACACGGAGACCGGACCATAGTGGGCGCCGCCAATAGCCTCGCTGCTGCAGGAGCGGTCATTGGGCTGCTGGTGCATCTCGACCGTGACCGTCGTGCCCGGCGTGACGGCGCACTTGTTGGCAACGGGCTTTGTGCCTGCGTTACAACGGATATCGTTGGACGCGACATTGGTGACGGGTGTGTTTGACAAGGGCAAGCGAGCACACTTCGAGCCGTATGTTGTGTGAGTAGGGGAAGCATCTAGCGGCAGCGGGAATGGAGAGAAGACTCATCATATCGGTTCCGCCAACCCAGAGGTCCTGGAAGGTGGCATGGCCGGCGGCCAAGTGTGTGACAAGGCCGAAGACGGCCGTGCGAAGTGCAGACTTCATATCGAGAGTGTGAAGGGACACAGGCGAAGAAGACGGGATGGTAACAGAAAAATAAAAGATAGAAAATAGAAGGTATCAACCGATAGCTCAAAGCGACGATGACAATGACAGGCAGAGACAGAATAGGCAGAGACTTTCGACCGACAAGAAGGACGTAATGAGTGCGAGTCAGTCCGTTTATATGCAGCCGGTGTTCACAGCCAGTGTTTTCTATCCTCCACGCCTTGGCCCACTGCTGTCAAGGGACTATTATTGACAAGGCCGCTCCGCTCATTACGAGAAAACGCCCTCACGCAATATACAAGACATCCCTTGTCGACAAGCCAGCAAGACGATGCACTATATTTCTAGTCTCTGCATGCGCACATTTTCTTCGTTTTCTGGACCAGACTCGGTTATTCGGCGCGGCTCTTGTGGGGTGAGCTGGGATAGGAGAGGAAGTCGGAGGATGGGAACGGGTATGGTGGGATATGTGCCTCCGAGCGATGCTAGTTTGCTGCGACGGTGGTATTGGGAAAGACGCAGGTATAGGACGTGTGTGAGAAAGAACCCTGCGATTCAGATAGACTACGACTATAATTGCAGTACGCGAAGCATAAACATGACCATGAGCATGGATGACTAGATACTCTCTTGTCGGTTTCCCGGTTCGTTGACGTTTGTGAATGAAGCCAAGACCAGCCACATGCTTGACCTCATGCACGCGCACCCTGTCGCTTCCTGTCGTGGCGAACCTGACCCCAGCTTTGTCGGCCAAAATGTGGAGCTGAGTGCAATCTACAATGAACGCCGTAGTCGTGGGCATGAGCAGTGTTTGCAAGGGGTGTCAAGTTCCTTAGACGAGTATACTCGGCGAGGACAGCGCTGGGCCTCAAAAATAGACTACCCGCTCTATATGTGTCCCCCATGCAGATGACATCGACCGGAAAGCGCTCATTTGTTCCGCGTGCGGGCTGCTAAATGCGGCAAAACGGAACACGCCTGCCCGCGATTGAATGTACGGGGGAACGCTGTAATTGGAAAAACCATGGTTGTCTCTCATTTTCATTTATTTTTCTTTACGTTAGGCACTGCGCTAGTCAGGCAGGCTGTCAACCTTGTCAAGTCTTGTATAGGCGTGAGTTATCAGACATGAACGCTAGCAACCATTGTCTTACCTGACTTTACATTATTATGGTGCACAATACTCAAAAGCCTTTTGGGTATTGTCGCATCCGCTTTTCACGTGTGGACACACGTTCTGTATTTTGCTGACTGCGGCGAACAGCATCAGTTCGTAGACCATGACGGCATCTTTGGGTAGCTCCGTGGCGGTCCGCACTGCTCCTGATACAACATGTTGGGCTGCATTGATGCGCCTTTCGGGACTGTTTATATGGTGTGGCCATTTCACAAGTTCAAGGATGTCCAACCATGATCCTATATCCTGCTTCGTTGCAGGAATATAGAAGGACACGCCCATCGCGGCGCGCGCCCCGATAGGTATCTCACTGACACTCGTTTCGCCTGCCAATCGATGCACCATGAGAGACGAAATGGCGGGAATCGTAGCACAAGCAGACGAATAATGACAGAGACAAAATGGCAAATAAAAATTTATGATTATGTAATTTTGCAAAAGTGACTTCGAGACGTTCACGGACACCTGATCGGACTCCAGTACGGTCGGTAGGAGTCGGATTATCCAACCGCAACCACGATTCCACTGTGCTGCGCGTCACTTTCTGTATCGCAAGAAACTTCACTGGGCACGTCGTCGACTTAAGGTGAGTTGAATCTATTTTGTCGATTACTCCTTGCCAAGGCCATAGATTAGCGAATCTTCTTCCCGAGGTCTTGGGAATGGGGAGAACAAGGAAAACGGACCCATCAATCTTGCAAAGATAGGCTATTCTCTCGAGTCAACAAAGTCGACTGTACCGTCCCGAGAATTCGTCGTCCCATTGCCAGGGTAAAAGACAGGATGAAAACAAAAGCATAGCCATTGGGGAATAAAGACCCCTCCAGAGGCCTTGGCACAGCCTGTCTTCCGTACCTCTTCGTACATCCAGACGGCGGCTCAATCAACGGAGATTGCGCCCAATTACACGAGCTGGTCCCGACGGACGATCGAGTACGTACTCAGTGGTCTGAAATAAGTAAAAAAAGAATAGACTGCAAGGTCTTGTACGGTTCACTTTTTCTTTTATATCACCTGCTTCCTGGTTTTGAACCTTGAGATTTGAATCAACCCGACTCTATTTTTTGCCCACCTCGTACATGTCAATATCGACAAAAGAGAGTTCGATATAGTACGGCCGCCGTCGAAATGTACTCCTTCGCTCACCTCGCCGGGCTGACCGCCGGGCTGACCGCCGGGCTGACGGCTGTGCTGGGCACGGCCCACGCCTATCCTCAAGCCAACGCCGTCGATCCATCGCCCGTCACCATCAACCCAACCGTGCTCGACCTCACTGAAACCGGCTCTGGCTGCCCCATTGGCAACGGCGGCATGGTGCACCAGATGAAGGACGGCACACCCGTCTTTGCTTTTATGGGCTGGGGTCTGACCCTCAACGGCTCGGCCATTCCCATTGACGCCCCGGAAGGCAGTCCAGGCAACAACACCGGCGGCCACGATGCGCAGGACAACCGCGTTGTGCGCGGCTCGGTGGCCAAGTTCTGCAAAGAGTCGATTTCCCTCGGCAACGCCCCTGTCGGCTACCAGGTGCACATTCGCGAGGTCTCCATTTCGGGCGTCGCCGAGCTGGACCCGACGTCGTTTATCGGCATCCGCGTTAACACGCGATTCGACCACGTCGAAGCGGGAGTATGAACTTACGCACTCATCCCCACATGCAGCTGGACAATGCGTTTCCCATGTACTGACTACGTGCAAGCGTGCTCGAGCGACTGTCAACGCTTCAGCGCTCAACAAAGGCTCATTCTCCGTCACACTGAACCCGAGCCCCATCACCTGGTCGCCGTGCGTCAACGACACTGGCCTCCTGCCGGTCATCTCCGTGCGCACCTCGGTGTCGCTCAATGGAACGGCCGTCGAGGCCACCGGCACGTACTCGAGCGGCAAGCTGGGTGGTGCAGCAGGTATCAACATGACTGCTGGTGGCATGGACAACGCCCTGAATCTGCATTTTGTGCCGGAGTGGCGGCCGTGCCCAGCGGAGTCGCTTGCGCCGTCAGCACCCACAGAGACGGGGACAGTAGCCCCTGCACCCCCTGTCGAGTCCACCCCAGCCGCGCCAGCACCGACAACATCGACAGTCCCTGTACCCGATCCGCCCATCAAGGACCCGCCCGCACCGAGTCCGCCTATGAATATGGGCGGTATGTAGGACAATTGCGAGATAAGGCTAAGAAAACTACAAGACGACAGGATTGGCCGAGAGAATGAACAAAGCTTTGGAATCGTGGCAAATACTGTTGTAATATCATCATCATTGCGAGAGATAGAAACTGTGAAGTGAAGACCACCACGTGTACGACGTACATGTGGCAACGCCAATTGGTCACAATATTTTACGAGACATTATTGCTTGCCAACAGACTGAGATCTCGGAGCGATCGCCGGAGAGAGCACTAGTCCCTGAAGTTTTGCGAGCGAAAGATCAAGGGTCTGACTAATTTTTTTTTTTTTCTGGGCTTGGCTTGGCTTGGCTTGGCCGTGACAGACTTTTTCCAGCCAGCGGAAACACCCTCCAGTTAGACGTAGACTCGTTGCCCTTTCTGTATGTGTGTTTGAGCGAGAATAAGTACACCGATGACATCGACTATTAGTGGAAAAAACATGATCTGATTGTACGGGGCCTAATGCATCCATGTGGCGGTCATTCCAGTTAGCATCATGTGAAAAGGCCAATCGACAAGCCAAGTAAAGAGGTAAGGAAATGACATATGCCAAACAACAGCCAAGGTACAGACAATGAACAAATGAGTTTGCTTAAAGGTGCAATTGCTGGAACGGCAAAGCACAGAAGGTATCTCTTTTTCAAAAATTTAAGACTTAGGTAGTATCGGGTTGGGTTGTATATGGAGATCTGACGGGTTCAGTCAAGAGATGCTAAATCGCTCGCTAGCCAAGTGGAAACACACAAAAGACGACGGCGCATAGAACACTGAAATCGACACTATGCCACCGACCAGAGAGGAGAACGGTCGGCCAACGGGCATAACAGAATGGGGGATATCGCGTTACGAGGCTGCCACAAAAACAAGAAAGTATAGAGAGATCGAATCGCTTTGCTTTACTGCTTGGGTGTCATCATAATCTCCTCGTTCTCGGCAATGGGGGCCGGTAGGTTGTGCGTCTGGTTGTACTCGTTGATGCCTACCACCTTGTCGGTGCCTTCCAGGTTGAGCTCGTAGTCGCGGTTCTGCGACAGCGTGTACTCTTCCTTGTCGATGTGCCGGAACATGAAGTAGAAGACAACGGTCAGGATACCGCCAGCAATGGCCGTGCCACCGAAGTCCCAGGTCAGGTGAGGGTCGACAATGATCGACGACGTTGCCAGGCCAATGATGTAGGCAATGGCAGTGTTGAACAGGTTCAGGGCGGACACGAGACCACGCATGTTGACAGGCGCACGCGAGTAAGCGATACCGTAGGCCGGAACGTTGACAAACAGCTCCGAGATGCCACCCAGTGCGTAGGGAATGGCCATGTACCAAATGGAAATGGGCGCGACACCAGTGCCGACCGTGCAGTTCGACGAACCGTAGTTGCCACACGGCGACAACTTGTAGGCGTAGTAGTTGAGCACCGTGTAGCCAACGCCGCCGACTGTCGACATGGCCAGACCTGTGGTGATGCGGGTAATGGGACCGTAGTGGATGTTGGCGCGGCGCAGCAGAGGGTACAGGCCGTAGTTGAGCAGCGGCGCGCACGCAATGATGGACAGCGAGTTGAAGTTAACGATGACATCGTTGGGTACACCGTTGGTCGTCAGCATCGTCGACAGGAAATTAGCGGCCGAGCCGATACCGTTGTCGTTGAGGTACTGGATGGGGAAGAAGCAGAAGATACCAGTCGCCTGGAAGGTGCGGCGCACGTCGTCGACGAACTCGTCGTTCCAGCGAACAGGGTAGTGCAGGCCGGCAGCGGCAATGGCGGACGGCTTCGCCAGGTCCCAGAAGCCGCTACGGCCAATGTGTTTGATGCCACCGCGACGAATGCAGATACCAACGACGCGGAAAACGTTGACCATGTCACTGCCGCCAGGGGGGTGCAGAATCAGGCGCTTGTGCAGGAACCACAGAAGACCAGGCAGGGGGATATACAGCAACAAGGGGATCAGGAACGCCAGATACCATCCGACGTACTTCTCCGCGTAGCCCGTGGCAAGGCCCATGAAGCCACCAATGTTGATGACCAGGTAGAACCAGAGCATAGCGCGCTCGGTGGTTGCCTCCGGGTCCTCGATGACACGCTCACCAGACTTGGTGACCACAACCTTGGGTACAGTGTTGACCATCTGATCGAGAAGCAGGGGCGAGACATTGGGCTTGAACATGGCAGCACCAACAGACAGAATGTAGACGGACAGGAAGAAGGGAATCTTGGCGTGGCCGCTCTCAAGGAGCGAGCGAGCGCCCGAAGCGACGAGCAGAACGTGGGCAACACCGAAAACACCGACACCCCAGCAGATGAGTTTGAAGCGACCGGTGCGGGCATCGGCCAGGTAGCCGAAGATCAAGGGCAGGGCGTACGCAAGCATCGAGAACGACTGCGAGACAGCGTTGGACACGACAGTGCCCATGCCGAGAGCACCGCCCGTCTCCTGCGTGCCACGGGGCGGGGCACCAAGACCGTTGCCATTGGGCGGCAGAGGCCGGTTGACATAGTTGCTGATAAGCGGCTGCACGCCGTAGTACGAACCACGCTCGCAGAACTCGACAATGCAGATCAGGTAGGCAACGAAGGGGAGCTTGCCGGGCACGCGGCGCAGCGTCTTCATCTCCTCCTCGGTGGGCTTGCCATCGTAATCCTCCTCCATGATGGCGGGATTGAGGTAGGCGCCGTGCTGGTCACCCGGCGGCGTGCGGGACATGGTCAGGTCGTTGTTGCCATCGATGGGTGGCTTCTCGTCGGCTGAACACAATTTGTTAGTGAAGCTGTCGCCAAGGTTTGTCATGCGTGAGAGTGCCGCATGCATGACAGTGTGCTGGCGTGAGACCTAGACATACTGGACGCCATCTTGTGTGCTGTTCCACGAGGATCTGTTCCTGTGCACACACGGTTGGGTGGTCGGGATGGAGATGAGAAGAATAATGAAAGGAAAAACAAACGGACGGGGAAAGGGGACGGGATGGTCTTTTATGTCGATCCAAGGCCATGGAATGATGGGTCTAGCACGAGGAAGAGGACCAGGCCAAGGGATTATGAGAGGGGGAGGCAACAAAAGGACAAGCCAAGCACGAGCTACCCCAGCAATGGCCGGTGGGTTAGACAACGAGAGAGATAAACGGCGTGCCTCATTATCAGGACCCAGGATTTCAGGATGCGGAAGGGGGGGTGGCTGGATGGCGAAAGGGGGGTGGTTTGTAGCCGGTCGCGTGTCGTTAGGAAAAGGAGCGAGAGTAGTGCGGAGTTGGTGGCGGAAGGAGGGGGGGGGGGGGGGGGCGATACAAGAAGAGGCCCCCCGAGCGTACGAGAGATGGGACTGCTGGACTGGGAGGGAGGAAGGAAGGCGCAAACACGCGCACACGAGGCGAGCACCTACCTGCAATTGACAATGGATGGAATTGAGATAGGTGGCTATGAAGCAGCAGCTACGACTTGTACGTGGTATGTGATGTGGTGCATAATGCAGGAGCGGCGAGGGCTGGTAATACAGAGAAGGCACGACTGTATGCGTGGACGTCGAAGCCCATTCAGCCGATATCTGGCCAATTTGGGCGGTAAAACAGCGCAGTGCAAGACAGCATAAAAAATAAGGAAAGAGTGTCTTGCCATTACAAGAAGGTCAGAGATAGCGTTGATGACAGACGAAAACAGAAAGAGCATAGGCGACATGCCAAGATGTGGTGGGACACAAAAGAGAAGGTGCCAAAGACGCTTGCTTTGCTCTTGCCAACTTGGACCATATGGCCCGGTGTCAGAGCTCTCTGGAAAGACGGGAATCACATTATGATCCACCGCGATGATGCACCGTTCCTGATTTCCCGTAGCTTGCCACTTACAGCGCCCAACGATGCAGCTTGGGTGAAGTGCAAAGCGCAACTTGTGCGACTGGGACGATGTTGTTGAAATTTGGGCAGGCTGCGTCGTGTACTTGCCTTATTTCCAGATCAGGAAACAAGCACCCACCACCGCTCACCTACCTACCTTCCGTCCGTGTTGGGGGCCTGAGTTGTCCGAAGGTACCAAGGTACTTCCAGCCTAGGCTAGACGCTACAACTGGCGCGGGGATCCACCCTTTTGGGACTACGCCGGCGCCGCCAGCATCTCGAACTGGGCCACCCAAAGTGTCAGGACGAAATTGTGAAAGTTGGGCTAGGGGCGAAAGATAGCCCAGTCTCCCAGATGTAAATGTGGGCAGGAGATCAACTTGCGCGATGGAACAACTAATGAACCTGGTGAAACAGGCATGGCAGGACGAAAGGCGCAATTCTGGCAGAAGAAGGAAGGAGTGAACGAGATGAGTGGTCGGTCGACAGCTTGGCTGGTTTTCTTGCACGAGCTGTGATTCGCTCACTCATAAACCGAAGACTTGTGGTGGGATGAGCAAACACAAAACAGGCAGGGGCACGGCGGCCGCCTGGAGCATTTTACAATAGGGCCGACGCACGCCATCCAAATTTTGGCTTTGTTCATAGCAAAATCACAGACGAGGCAAAATAAAATCCTTCGAAATCCCAGACTGCTCAACCGAGGGCAAACACCGACCGCTCGTTTTAGGGCGGCAAATGTCGCCGACACGCTCGACAGCTAACCTCGGCCGCCCCCGATTGCCTCGCTCCCACGTCCGCTTCTAGAACGCTTCCAGCCTCTGGCCCGCGTCTCACAGCAAAGTTGCCACAAGCTCGCCGACCGCCTTCTCTCTCTTGTGCTTTTTTTTGCCTGGATCGTTTGAATCGTATCGCTATCCTATCGCACCAGCAGTGCCAAGACAGCCCCCTCACGACTCGCATGTCATCTGCCTCCAATGGTCTCCTGAGCTTTGTTATCGCTTGTCTGTCTGCAGTTCGGCTGTCGCAGGTTTCTACCCCATACCCCGAGACCCCGTCCTGGACGCTCTGCCGTCTCCGTCTTGGTGGTTACCACCTTTTTGATGTAATGGCCGGCTACCCATGCTCCGTGTCGCTCATTGCCAAAACAAGGAGGTGGTAACAGATGCACGCCTGGCATTTTATCTCCCACATCGCACGCTAGTTCTATTGCGATCTTAATTAGTGTCTCTGTATGTTTGCTAATGCGACACAGGGAATGGAATACCGGTACTCGACAGTCGTTCCGCATCTCCAAGACAAGGCTGCCTTTCAAGGCACTCGCCGCGCCGTATTACAGGTGCTGGCGTCTTGCCTTCCCTGCCCCTGGCCCTCCCGCCGTCTCCTTCGTGCACGACCGCTTCTCCTAGACCTAAAACGGACTGACCTCCGATTATCCAAGACTACTCAGCTCTTTGAGGCGACGGGCCTTTTGCCATTTGCTCGATGCGTTTTGTTCATTATCTCGCCAGAACGGGATTGGGGGATATTTTCGGTTTTGTAATTTTTTTTCGTTCCGCTTTGTCTGAAGTCTGTTGGCATTCAGCAAACCTGTCATGGCGTGGTTCCTCCCCCAAAACACAAGCCACCATTCAGTGCCGCAGATCAGAGAGGCAAAAATATATGAGAAGCACATCATGTGGATGGCATTACGATGCATCTTCTTTTTCCTCTTGGCCGGCGAGACCGCCTTCTTCTCGTATTTTGTACCATTTTTTTCAGTATACAAAGTCGACATTTTTCGTCAGGTGCAGTTGCCCTCGTCCTTTCATTTCAGTTTGGCTGTTCCCTTCCCACCTCACTTGCTCTTACCTCTGCATCTCAACTTTGGCCATCGCTGACAACTCTGGAAGAACACCCACCCATTCAACAGAACGCGGGGATCGACACATGCCTTGTGGTCCCCAGCGCTTGGCTGCAGCTTGTGTGTTGTTTTGTTTATGTTGCCCTCTCTAACACGAGATTGGTGGACAGCAGCAATCGCCAGTGGTCGGCACCCCTCCCCCCTTCCCCTTTCTTTCGAGATTCGGTCCTTTCAACTGGCTTTCTGTGGCCAGAGCATAGGCAGGAACATGGTATGAACGTTCTAATGTCACTAAAATCACATATCGTTCCACTGTGGTTGCAAAACAATGCCGCACTAGACCCGGAAATGGTAGGTCGCTGCACCGCTGATAGCTTGGCGTCTACGCCACCTGTTTGCCTCCCGTCAAACGCTACGCTTTTTTTCCATCGCGTCTTTCCACCTGCCTTTTTCCATCACCGTATTAGAGGTTCTTTTTTTAAGCTAGGCCGTCTTCATTTTTCTCACCTTGATGTTTTCCTTCGGCCTCGGCGGTTCCAGTGGCGATTAGCGAATAATGGCTGATGGAAGGTGAAACGGAAGGAACAGAAGCCGCAACTACACCTCACAATGGACGCAAACACGGGCAAAACTCGGGGTACGCGTCCAAGTTACGATACGGTCTATGACAAAGCAAACGCGGCTGTCGAACGGCAGATGTTGACTTAAGGTTAAAGAGACTAATACGCGATCGGAAAAGGACTGTAAAAAGGTCGATGCACAACGATGTCAGCAAATTTCTCGACGCGGCATACTTTCTTCAATTCACTCAGCTCAGGAATCCAGGAGAAAGCACTGCTCGCCAATACAGCCTCCCAACCGTCGCATCCCTTGGCTGCATCGTCAATTCGGATAGCCGGCATCTGGCAAAGAAGAGAAATCTTGGCAAGTGAAGTCGACAAGGACAGGTGCGGATTCTCTGAACGCAAAAGTCTTGGCGAAAAGCAACGTCGAAGACGACAAACAATACGAGAGATTCCAGGATGGCTCAGATGGGAATGCGACTGCCTCCTTCCTAGCTGGGATAACCGCTATGGGAGGTTTGGAGAAGAAATCCGGCGGAAAAGATGGAGCAAAAGAGCAAAGGAGCAATTGGCTCACCTTGGCATTACACATGTCTCCATCGTGTGGTCCAGGTCCGCAATCCGTAATGATACTAACCTGTGAGCAGAGGAGAAGGAAGAGAAACGGAGGGGTCTTCTTTTGGGGTCCACACTAGACGATGAATCTTCTCGGTAGTTCATAAGTCGTACCGGAAGCTCCGTTTTGTAACCTTTGTTCATGATATAAAAATGCAACTCTTAACGCGCAAGTGTCGACTTTGTACGAATTATGTAGGCAAGAGTCAAAAATGGATGGGTAAGATGACTAAGGAAAATAGAAGTACATTTCAGAAGACATCGTCAGAACACATTGTCAGAAAACATCGCCCACGCTGTCGGAATCCTTGTCGTGGCGGTTTTGGCTAATGACAGGTGTAATATATGCTAGTCGCTGAAGGAATCGATCCTGCCCTCCGTGTGCCTGCCAATCCTGCCAGCGCCACGTCTCGTGCGTTTCTGTCACTCGCCGGTCGTGCCTTTCAACAAAGATCGCTCTACGACGACAAGCTGCGTGACCCTCTACCATTGCATCGCAAGGAGCCCGAATGGGCTGATGCACACTTTAACCACTCGGTCGGAACTCAGATTCTCCTCGCTAAATTCATGGAGGAAAATACCGCTCCCGGGAATGTATTCTGCAGACGCACTCCCGTATGCGTGAAATAATGCTGTGGCAAACCAAATCCAAAAAGTACCCATAAATCACACAAGACGAACTCTGGCATCGTTTGATCGGTATGCCATTTCGTAAGAAGGTACGACGGCATTTTGCAGTTTTATAGTGCAGATGGCCAGACTGTGATATGGGGCCCATTGTCAGCATGATTCTTCTCACCCACCAGTTTTATGCTCTCATGCGTGGTCTGCCCATGAGAAAATCTTTTGATCCAGAGAAAGGGAGTGTGTGTGTGGGAATTAAGGAATCAAGAGAGTCAGTGTCATGTGACGTCGTCGTGCTCACGGATTATTCAGTGGACAAGTTTCCATCGGAAGAAATCAGCACCATGGAATGCCGGAAGACATCTGCGCTTTGGAATCAAT